TTTAAATAGTAATGTTGTGTCACTTCCTTGATTCCCGAAATTTTCAGTGCCGCCCTCGTAAGTGAATATGTTAGAAAACTAACTCGTGGAATGACGGATTCTAGTTGCATGGGTAGCTGTATATTATAAAGGTTTATCATCTATTTCTTTTCTACCCACTCTCGTAACTTTGTGTTTGTTATCCGACGACATTAAAGTTGAATATAAAAGGATTAAAATAAAACTACATTTAAAGCAATCTCAACAATATATATATTTATATTACTTCTGTAATCAAATACGTGTTTCTACAATAACAATTTAGTGTTACATAATTTGAATTCTATTCAAAGTTAGAAAAATAGATGTGACAATGCAACATTAACAACACCATGAAACCACTTAATGTACCTTCTTTATTTTAAATCAACTCCCTGGTCCTATACAGGCTATAATTTGTTATATTTTTAGCTATGATAGTGTCATAGAAAAATCTCTACATCAACATAACTGTCTATCGTGTCAGTAAGAAAATACTTTTTTAGAATTAATTAACAAGAGTGCAAGCAAGCTCTGTTCAATTATAATGAACGAGAAATCACAATAATTATTTTTCCTGCATTACTAATTTTAATCGTTTATCTGACAATTATTTGATTACTATTATAATAAATCCTATTAATATTGATTAAATTTACTTCGAATGTAATTATGTACTACATGTAACGCGAATTTCCTTAAAGTATTAACATATTCTTCTCATATTCGAATTATAACTGATAATATAAGAAACCAATACTTATTACAACATATTAAAAATATAATATGTAATTTTATATTTATATTGTTAAGAAACTGTGCTTTACTAAAGCACGGTTTGTAATTGTATTATGTATCTCGAGCACCTGCTCTTTATTAAAATAATGTGAAAATTTCATCTCTTGTAGTGTGTAAGTATGTAAAATAAAACGTTTGTAAAAATATAGAACATCTATTAGTTGACGATCGGTTGCAAAATTTATATAGAATGATGATATGACTATACAATTGTAATAAAGGTTTACTATTCCCGCCAGATATGTTCCATAATTAACCTAGAAATGTGATCACGTTATGTATAAAAGCTTTAAAGATCTCTCTTACATTACATCTCTCGATCAAATGAAATTAATGTAATTAAACATTACATTAATTTACAATAATAAATATCAATTCCTTTTTTTCATTATGAGTTATATATATAAAATTATGTTAATTAATTATGCCATTATTTACCATTATTTTATGTTTATTAAATGTATACAGATGGGACATGAAATGTTGTATATTATGCTTGTGGATAATTATTTTTTATTATTATGGTAAGTACCACGGCCAACATAATTCAATATATCAATTTCTGTCCTACATTATTTAGAGCAAATCATAAAATATTTAATATTCCGTTTTTATTCAAATTGAAATATTTACTGTTTGTATATTGAAGAATTAAAGCCCTACAACATTTAACATTATAATGATCTTTGGTAAAATAAATGGAATCGACATCTGCATATGACCAGTACCAAACTCACAAATACGTATTCTGAAAGTTTTTTTAAAGTAACAAATAATTCACTTAATTAGTTATGTACTTACGATTATTATGAATGAAAATACTGTTCACAAGTCGTGCATTTGTGCGCACGAGTTAATAAAATGCGCCTAGTGGTGACAATAGTCTTAACACAACATTGTATAAACATATCGCCAAAATTACCAAGTGTTGTCATTCCAACCACCTTTGATATGCAAGATATCTGTAATTATATATATTCGTATAATATCTTAAAATTTTAAGTAAACTTATTATTATTATCAACACTTAAATGTAGACTTACTATATACAAAAGCTATCTACCGTCTCATTTTGTTAGAAAATTAACACAATATATATATATATATATATATATATATATATATATATATATATATATGTATATATAAGTATGTTTCTGCGTAAAAAAATAAAGTAAAACATGGCTAAATTTTATTTTTTTAAACCTATGTTTTAAATAATGCTTCAAAATTGGGCACAAGTTTTCTCATGTTTTGTTTTAGTTAATAGTAGCATCAAACCGAGACTCCATCGGTTAATCAATGTCTCATGACATTGATTAACCAATGGATTGAATTTGATTTTTGAATTTGAATTTTTACTCAATTCAACATCATCATCATCTTTATTACAGCTCTTCACAAGTCCACTACTACTGAACAATTCAATTTAGGTTTGTTTAAATCTTATTGATTTATAAATTATACTTTTTTTAACAAAATTTCATTAAGTTTTTTATTATTTGTTTGTTATTTTGCATCCCATTATTGCACTATATTTTTAGATATTTTATTGTGAAGTTTTATCATTTACTGACTTTCTAGTTTTAGCTAAACTAATTTTTGGAACCTCTAGCGTATTACTTCAACCCATCGTCCCACGGGAAACAGTCCCTTAATTTTAATAATTTAATTTTTCTGTACGTACGTAGGTATATACAATATCTAACAAAAACCCTGTGGTTTCCGTTAAGTACGTTATCAGGATCATTATTCAAACGTATAGAAATAACTTTTTTTAAAAACTCGAACAATATTTTATTTTATTTTATTTAAAAACATTTATATGCATGTGGTTTTATTACCTCTGCATTGTCTGGGGAGTAAGAGGATTGTCAAAGACCCCGCTTTACTTAGCTTTAGCATCGGCTAGTGTCAGTAAGAGGTAATAAAACCACATAAAATTATTTTTTTAATAAAATTAAAAAAAATATGGTCGTTTTAAAAAAAATCTATATGTTTGAATACTGATCCTGATAACGTACTTAACGGAAACCACAGGGTTTTTGTTACATGTTGTATACCTCCGTACCGTAACATAAAGTACCGTAGCGTAAAGTCTTTTCAAAGAGTCGCGTGGGGACTCGGGGGAACCCGAGTAATAGATTGCCTGTATCGCTTGCTTTTTCCAAAATGAATATTGTTTCCAATCCAGCTGCTGATCCTCACAGCAAGAAAACTGAAACACCTTTCTATTCATTTTGGTGTTATTAGCTTAATTAAGTCATTATTTTACGAGACTTAGTCGGCTTGAGATTGACCGTTATGGTAATTCTTTTAGTTTTTTTTTTAACAGAATAAAGGTCGCAAACGAGCACACACACAGTCCAACTGCTGGTAAGTGGATGCCGTGGCTCAGATACATTTACATCTATCCTCGATTAAGAATAAAAATGTGGATGCGTTGTCTATGCCTGTCGTTGGCTAGTATCCAGTAAAAAGGGGTCTCCGGTTCTCTACACTCACCGTACGAAACACAGCAGCATTTAGCTGCTATTTTGTGAGAACGTGGTCCTACCACTGTTGAGCCAACCCATTCATGCTACAACTATAATGTAGTTGCAGCATGGCTCTATCACGTCAACACAACATGTTTTAGTATAAGAAAAGGAGGTTATGTTGGGTGAGAGGCTGCTGCTACCGCGGTTGTTGGTTTAATTATTTCATCTTTCACTTCACTTCTAGCAGTAAGATACAGTAAGCACTGTGTTTTATGAATGTTTTATAACGTAAAGTCGACACTCATATTAAAAATATTTCACCTACTTTTTGCATTTACTTTTATTTTATCCAGGTGGTAATCATCTTTTATCAAAGGAGAAAAACGAAATGGTTTTATAAACTAAGTCAGCCAACTTTATTCTTAGCAGAAAATTGAAAATCTACATGAATTCAACTAGTGTTATTAGTTAACTTTCAGAAGCATTGAAGGGACGGTTTTAGTATATATTATATATGTTATTAAATGCAATAGAACACAGATAGGTACATATAGTGGCTGACTTAATTTAGCATTTTAGCGATAGTTTCATGAGGTGGGGATATAATTTATATGAATATTATATTGCTACTGCAATTACAGACATGTCACCACTAAACCAGTAATAATTTTAAAACAACTTTTAAATTTACATAGTATATCTTGTGGGACTTATTCTAATATTTAAAGCGATTAACAAAATAGACGATGTAAGATTATAGTAGGATAGTAAGGTTAAAAATTACGAAAAAATCTTTTACAGTTTTAAGGGCAACATTAATACAATGTTAGGCCTTTTTGAGTTTAATTTGACAAAATTACAGCAATACACACCTTGGTGTTGTTTAGATTAAGTGTTAATTACTTTTTGTAAATAAAATACATTTTTTACATTATACTTATAAGTCAGGAAAATTTTCTTAAATTACGTTACATACTAATGAATACTAAAATTTTATTAAAAAAAATATTGACTACAATACCTAAAGCAATTACAAAGTGTTGGTAAAGTCTTCGAGAGTACTTTCTGTACATACGAGTAAATAAATAGAATATAAATTGTAGAAAAATAACAACTTCTCATTCCATAAAACGATTTGTCTTTTGGGGTTCATGGCACAGAGGGACTACAGTAAGAGGTGGGTAAGTAAGAATCTCAAGTAAATTTAAACATTTTACAATTTGTAACTCTTAGAAGGAAGACGGTCACCGCTCATATTCCTACGTAATGTACTTATACTACGTAATAATACATATATTAATCCTATATAATGTAATTTTCGGAAATGATAGTTGCTTCAAACTTTTGTAAAAAATTGGAATGTTCAATTATAATTATTCCTAACAAATGCTGCAGGTGTATTGGATTATAAGAGCTTTTTATAGCACGTTATCATTTCCAAAAATATGTTTTTTTTCTTGTATACAAATGAATTCATACTTAGTTTCACTTTTAGGTACTTTTAAATAGATAACTGTTATAATAAATAAATAATTTTTCTTCAGTTATATACATAAAATCTCGAGAACTTGTTTAAATACAAATTATTACGAAATTATATTTTTAGTTTATCTTTACGCTATTCTTTCTTTTTAATTGTGACTTAGATTTTGGCTTTAAAGTGAAATTGAGGCAAGTAATTAATATTCTTTGAATACCTTGAAATTAGAGTTGCGTTGGAGGAAATCGGCGTTGGGGCTTGATTCTCCTCTGTGCGAGTGTCGATTGTGTGACGGGACCCAGCACTTGAGGAGTTAGCGGTGCGGAGGTCATAGCCTGGAATATATTAACATTATGAACATAAGTATACATAAAGCTATATAGTTAGTAGTACCTTAAGTCTATCAAAGGTAAGAATTAATCGATACAGTTTGGTAATGAGGCACCTGTCACTGCCAAATATCCAAATATATAATGTTGGGAAAAGATACGCATGCATGCGTTTAAATGTACAGGCAGTGCTACATTTAAACGCAAATATATATTAGAAACAAAAGGAAAAACAAAGTGGACGGGGCTTACATGTCATAAATGGCGGAGTACTGCCTAATTGACTGTCAGTTGCAAGCTTGCATTGTCACGAGCTGACGTGTCACTATTTATAACATATGCGTAAATATGTTCGTATTATGCAATATTGGAATGCAAAACTAAATATATTTCAATTACGGGGGTATCTGTATTACATTCTAATAAATGTTGTTAAGTCACAAATTTATTCCCAAACCTTATTAACGATTAATCCACAGCATAAATAATAGTACAAGAACAAAAGGATCACTCACTGATAGCAAACTTGCGAGTTTAAACCTAATTACAACATCGCTAATGTTCATAATACTTTGCACGCCTCGGAGGCGACTTTCGTGGAAATAGCCTCCGTCGAAACAAAAATTAATGGGGCGCCCGTATTATATCAAAATGCATCTTACGTCCGCGTGCGGGTGTCTGTATCACATAGCCCGTTACGCGCCTTTGTTAAGGCCGCCTATACTGTCGGGTTAGGTGCTGTAAGAAAACAAATTGAATACTTTGATATTAGTTGGTATAAAGTAGAATACACCGAGGTGTTATGCAATGTATTAGTATTTTCTTTATTTTATTAAAAAAAAAACGTTACAAGAATTTTCTACTGTATCGTGGTTTACAGACATAAATTGCACAAGGACAAACATCTAGACTTGGAACAATTATTTGTAGGCCATAGAAATACTTGTTCCGTGCGGGATTCGAATCCGCGGCCCCAGCGTTGGAAGTTGGAACTCATTGCTAAGCTACTGTGTCACGGAGCCGTGAATTTGCTGATAATAAAAACATTATTGTTCAATGTGAGGAAGGTTAATATGCAACATCGAGGAAAATTAAGATTATAACAACGTGAACAACTTTGAAACTGGGATAATTTACCTACTTACCATTTTTAACCGACTTCAAAAGAAGGAGGAGGTACTCAATTCAACTGTATTTTTTTATGTGTGTTACCTCAGAACTATTTTCTAGGTGAATCGATTTTGATGATTCTATTTTTATTTGAAAGCTGGTGCTTATAATTTATACATCCCATATAAATTTGATCAAGACATTACCAGTAGTTTTGGAGTTATCCTTAATGATGCGTATTAGTATTGAAATCGGTTGTACAAAATTTTTAATTTTATTAGTTGTCTCTCTTCCTCTCTTTTTACAAAACGTTACCTCCACACTAGGATGTTCTCCTGTATCGCAGGGACAGTTTATATACGTAGAACAGACCCATAACAATGATTTGTAAGCCATACAAATACTTGTTCCGTCCGGTATTCGAACGCGCTTACCGCTGCAACCAATTACTAAGTCACTGCGCCACGGAGCCGTCACTTGTCTGTTTCACATTTTTTGTTATTTACAAACGGCATTATTGATGAAAGAGTGGCAATGAGAAGTGCTGCTGTTTTCAATAGACCTCTCTCTTTCTTTTATCGACCAAGTGTTAAACTAATTACCAGTATATGCTGATCTTGCATTAGTAGGCAGTCACTAGTAATGCTAGGTCTACTTACACTGAAGGATTTTTTAAGGTCATTGGCATTATACGCGAAAAAATTGAAGACTGCGAAGCTGTGGTCGGATCGCTAATCAAATAATAATCTGTAACTATGGCGTCAGTAACTAAGTACCTAATTATCTACCTATAAATTATAATATATTACCTTTTGGTATCCTTAAGAACAGTAAAGAATGAAAAGTCGACATCCCTATTGTTATTTAAGCACCCGGATGCTATGCAGTACTTTTTGACTTTTTGAGAGGCCGTACTTGAATAAAAACTCAAAAATAAATATCAAAAGTGGCAAATACTCATAAAAGAAAAATACTTTTTTGTTAACGTAAGGTGCGCGTCAGCACGAACGCGCGTGTGACAACCTCACTGAATCAGCCGCTTGTAGGGGACCACGTAGCGTAAGTATATTTTCATGCCTAAAGCGCGGAGAGAGGCCTGATTAAAGATCGTCGTGATGTCGTTTTTCGAGTAGCGAGCAGATAATGAACGGCAAATTCAACTTAAAGTTGATCGGCATAACATAGCAGCATAGAATAGCGTGAAATTATTATTGCGACAACTAGCGTCGAGTAACAGAGTTTGTTTCAATCTCCGAATCTTTATGGATAGAAGATATAATGGTGTCTAGTTGTACGAACATAATATGGTGCGTTTTAAACTGATCAAAGTATTACTGCGATATCTTACTTTCTAAGTTACTGAAATTGCTTGTCAATCCTGGAAATTTTCTAGATTAAAATAACGCAACATTTTTCTGATAACAGTTCGAAATTAAAAACAGAAGCCGTTGCCATCCCCAAGCGTGTTAAATATGGCGAAATCTGCTCTAAAGACGTAATCAATAGGGAAGGCCAAAAAAGATAACCCATCAAAACCGCTATTAAATATTATCTAATTATATCTATTAATTTAATTTATTTCATTTTTTTTAATTTATCTATTAAAATAATTTTATCCGCTCTATATAGTTTCGCCCATGGATTGCCTCACATTTTAAGGGATATTTGGTATTATAATAGATTCATCAAATATGTTGTTAAAGATTTAGTAGTAGGTTAAAACAATATAAATAATCTAGGTGTTTGTAAAAATGTACATAAAAAATTACAGCCCTTAAAGTGTTCTCTTAGTTCTCATAGTTCACAAGACAGAATTGTTGTTAGGCGTATAATAAATAATTAGTAAAGCCAAACCAACTTACAAGTCACAAAATGTTAAAGATAAAAAAAAGAAAACACGTGAGCGATTCACACTCGGTAGCAGCGAAATCTTCCTATAAGATGAAATATAAAATAAAAATATTTCATATCACAAATGATTTATTTAATAAGATCATTTTCAACCACAAGTTTGGCATAAAATATAAGAGAAAAGTTTAATTTTATAGCAACTTTATGTTACAATTCTTATTTTTAGATATCAAAAGAATATTTTCTTTCTAACAAAATTGTTTTGTAATAGCGCCATCTATTTATTCTACAAGTAAAGTCGTTTCATCAAAAAAGAGGTGGTACGTAAAATAGACGCTAGATGGCTTAAAGTTATGAAATCGTGGATTGATATGAATGGATAGGTATATTAAGATAATTTTATTCAATATGGTTAATTTTATTCATTTAATAAATTTGTATATTTTTTATATTGTTTATTTTAACCATTGACCTACTACTAGGAGTTCACGGCAGTAGTCGAATGGCGGATTTGAACCCTTAAACTTTTGAGGTCGCGGTCCGCATCCTATTAGGCTGCTGTCGCTCACTATACTGTGTACTATCTTATTCTCTCGCAGGCTAAATATAGGTTTGTCTCTTTTAGTGTCACTTTTTCGTTTCATCGAGTTTCAAATCACGATTCTAAAGAAGATTCACTTAAAAAAAAAAACTATTATAATGCAAGTCCATATAGGGCGCAGAGCAGATAGGGAGCTACTAAATTCAAAAGCTAGTTTTATGGCGATTCGCACGTACCTTGCCTCTCTACAGAGGGGAGCTCATTAGTATGTAGGTAGACGAGGCGCACGTACCTGGAAGGTGAGGTCGACGGCGCGGCGCAGGTCGGCGAGGGGCGGCGAGGGGCGGCGCGGAGTGGTGCGGGAGCTTACTAGTCTGTAGACGAGGCGCACGTACCTGGAAGGTGAGGTCGACGGCGCGGCGCAGGTCGGCGAGGGGCGGCGAGGGGCGGCGCGGAGTGGTGCGGGAGCTTACTAGTCTGTAGACGAGGCGCACGTACCTGGAAGGTGAGGTCGACGGCGCGGCGCAGGTCGGCGAGGGGCGGCGAGGGGCGGCGCGGAGTGGTGCGGGAGCTTACTAGTCTGTAGACGAGGCGCACGTACCTGGAAGGTGAGGTCGACGGCGCGGCGCAGGTCGGCGAGGGGCGGCGCGGGCGCGGCAGCGGGCGCGGCGGCGGGCGGGGGCTGCGGCGCGGGGTGGGGCGCGGGCGCGCACAGCCAGGGCTCGCGCAGCAGGTCGGCGGCGCGCGGCCGCAGCGCCGGCTCCAGCGTCAGCATGCGCCGCACGCACGCGCGAGCTTCCGCCGACACCGCGCGCCACCCGCCCTCCGTCAGTTCCACCTGCACAAGTACACCAATCACCCAAAACAATGAGACATCCACCACTTTTTCTGCCACCTAAATGATGTGAAATATTTGACAGATTTCATATTGGGGGAAGTTTATTTGTTCGGAAAATGTAAAAGTTAATGTTTCGTTCAGAAATATTAGTTATACTTTATATTCACTTTACTATACTTTATATTAGATTAGTTATATATTATGGATAATAATTCAAACTACAGATATTCCTAAAAGTAGATAAAATTAAAGTGTTATAAATGTGCAAAAAAATTAAAGAGCAAACCACTGAGGCATGTTTTGTTTTTTTTTTTACACACTAGAAACCGATAAACTTTTATTTAAAATACAATTTTTTAATTAAAATGACATTTTGTTACAAATCTATTCACCTCACTCCAAACTAACCACATCTGGTGAGCGAAACATTATTAGCCCTCATTATTACTAGTAATCGAACTTCGACCTTAATGCATTTAATTCATAAAGCTCAACTCTGCAGGAAATTAACTGCACATTAAAACACAGATATCATTATTGAAAAAGCGAACATTTGAAATCACACAAAATTAAGTAGTAATTATTTGTTGGCAACATTTTAAAATTCTTTGACGACAATCTCTACTCTGTGCGACTGTTTGACGACAGACTATTATGTGTTCGACATCGGCAATATCACAGCCTAAAGATAGTCTAACAGTTGGGAAACGAATGTACTTGTGCAGAGCAAATACGTAAACATGGGGCGTGGTTGCGGGGCAGGGAGCGGCGCGAACACGTGCTAGCACACTCCACTAAGTCTGTTGTACAATACAGACGTGTTTTGCAGTTAACAAGTAAAGTTAAGCATAAAAATAAAACAATTAAGGTATTAAGGGACAAAGTCCGTTACTATAAAAAAAAGAGTGGCATCTTCAAAAGTTATAATAAAGGAATTAGAAAAGAATAATCTCATTAAAGCCGAAGACGCAAATATTTAAAAAAAAATTGGTGTACTTAATCAAGAAATCGTTCATCGTCAGTATCTGAAATGTAAAACGGGAAAAATTATTAAAAAGAAATATTCGCCTGAATTGAGAACTTTCGCTCTCACATTGAATTTTTATTAATCAAAAGCTTACAAATATGTAAGAAATACCTTCAATACTTGTTTACCTTCCATGTGAACACTAACAAAATGGTACCAGACTGTGGACGGTAGGCCGGGTTTCACGAAAGAGGTTTTCAACGCCTAAAAGCCCGAGCAGAAACATCAAAAGAAGAGTTGATGTATACCCTTGTATTCGATGAGATGAAAATAAAAAGCAAGGTAGAATATGAACCATCAACTCAACGTTCATTCGGCTACGTGGATTTTAGTAATCATCTGGAAACTGACTACAATAATGAATGCACAGAAGCACTAGTGCTTTTAGTAGGCCCATTCAACGTAAGTTTCAAAGTACCAATTGGTTACTTTCTAGTCGATAAAACCAGTGGAGAACAAAAAGCTAACCTGGTAAATATTGCTCTTGAGCTGTGCCATGAAAACAAAATTACTGTCAAAGCATTGACCTTCGACGGCTGTCCAGCAAACTTGGCAATGGCAAAGCAACTAGGATGCAAATTTCAAAAAGAGCAGCTAAAAATGAGCTTTAAACATCCTGTGACGAGTGCTAATGTTTTCGTATTTTTGGATCCCGTGCATATGCTCAAATTGATCAGAAATACTTTTGAAAAATATCAAGAATTTCAAGATGAGAACGGCAACACTATAACATGGGATTACCTAAAATTATTACAGGAGCTCCAAGAAAAAGAGAATTTTCACCTAGCCAATAAGTTACGCGCTGAACCCATTTATTTTAAAACGAATATAATGAAAATAAAATTAGCTACACAATTGTTCAGTCGCAGCGTAGCTACAGCATTAGATTTTTGTGAAGTAGAGTTAAAATTGACAGACTTTCAAGGAGTTGGTTCGACATCCAGAATGATCCTACTCATAAACGATTTATTTGATATTTTAGATTCCAGAGTTCACGGGTATAGATACAAACGGGCTTTGAATTTTGATAATCATACTAGAATCTTTGATAGACTAGAGGAATGCAAAAGGTTTTCGGTGACTGTCACTACAAAAATAATATTATGAAAGAAGACGCAACAAGTAAAATTGATAGAATCACCACGGTTTACTGGATTTTTAAGTTTCTTTGTTGCAATCGAAAGTACTAAAGGTTTATTTAAGGATTTAATTTGTGATGAAAATTGTCCTATAAGATACTTACCTATGCACAAAATTTCACAGGATCACATAGAACTCTTTTTTGCTAATATGAGATCACATGGTGGTTCAAATGACAACCTCACACCCCGCTCATTCGAAGCCATTTACAAGAAATGTTTAATTCATACAGAATTATTACAAACATCGACGGGTAACTGCATACCGTTAGAGAAGATATCAATTCTTAATTGTTCTTCGCAATCACAAGAATAAACTTGACCACTCACAGCGAAACTGAGCAGACTGTTAATGATGATGATCATGAAAACGAAGAAGAATTTAATATTCGGATGGAAGCTGTCGAGCTTTCGCAGTTTTCTGAGAATGTGATAGAATACATAGCAGGGTATATGTCTAGCGCACTAATTAAACGTATTCAATGCGCCACTTGCGTGCAAGCATTAGTATGCTTGTCAGAAAATAAGAGAAGCTTAATTTTTTACAGAGATAAGGGGGGCTTAATATATCCATTAGTTAATGTGCAAAAAATTTGCCGCCGTTCGGAGCAATTCATAAAAAAAAATTTCATTGAGAGTGTAGACATAGTACGACGATGTACAAGTGATTTCTTAGTTCACAAAACAATGAGCAGTTTTGTAGGAGAAAAACTATTTCCCGAATATGAGTACACCAAAATTACACAGAAGAGACAAACCATATAACTGATTTAGCTCAAAGTATCATAAAAAATATGTAGATCCGGGACTAACATTCCTTAGCAAAAAAAAGAAATATAACGAGAAACAAGCAGTGAGAAGAATTTATACTAAATTAATTCACTTTAAAAACCAGTAATAGTAACGCATAAGTAACATTTAAATCTTGAATTTATTATACCTACCAAAGCTATGATCGATAACTAAATAAACAAAAATATTGACATTTTGCGAGTTTTTCCTTAATTTTTCATATGATACAATAGTTTTATTTCATTAATTTTTTATAATTTCATTTATAGCCTTAAATTCAATTTTATTTCATTTATTACTATATTTTTTTAAGTATGGAAGTTTCATTTAAAAAGTTATTATTTCGAACACACTCACGAACACACATATAAACATACACACACGTACTTACACCTCCATATATTCTTACCTAATAGTCCTAAATAAAATATATTTATAACGAAAAAATTATATATAAATCCGTTATGTACCTACTTACCTAGTCCCATAATACTTACCTGACCCATAAGGGTTTCGTTTTTTCCTTTTCAGGTACGAAACCATAAAAAACGTTAGGCTTTATAACAACTTTCGATCAAAACAACCTTTTGACTAATTTCAACATATATTATTACAATTTTAAGATATATTATTACAATCTACCGAAAAATAATGCGTTACATTGTAAGCAGTATGTTACGGGTTCACAATCTTTCAACAGTTTACATACTCGCGAGATAGATATTAAACTTACGATTACGATTTTTACGGTTTACGGTAACAAATATTTTATTGGACAGCTCAAGTGCAATACTTGACTTTGAATCGGCCAATCAGAGCGCAGCGTTTTGGCGGAATTTGTTTTCTTACAAAACAAATAACAATACCGCTCTATTTCAGGTTAAATGCTCGATGTTGTTACCCGACGGTGCGCCGCATGTATTACCGTGTAAAGTTCTCCATTTAATTAAATTCTATTATATTTTTGCGGGGTATTATTTTATTTATTCTCTTACAATATTACATGAACAGAATCATAAAACGATACCTAAAAACATCCTTACGGATCGAACTAGGTTAGAAAGCACAACATTGCAGTTATCGATTGTGTAGCGAAACTAGTCCGAAACTGTAATCCTGTAATCCGTATAGATGTTTCTGTGTAGTATGTAATATAACTCTCGGCTGTATGGAATCGATTATACGTGGCAGAGCCATGGTGCAGCACCAATTCGAATCCATCCATACCGATTCGGATGGATGGATGGAATTGGTACGGATGGAAAATTATATGGTTCTAACCATAACATCGCATCTGATTTTGATTTCTTCGAAGATAAATGTGTACATTTGTCACCCTCACTTCAATATAAACCAAAGGGATTATGGTGTTTTACTACAACCGGTACAAGGTGGTTCAATGATGCTCAGCGAGCTTTAAAAAGAATGCCTAGTTTTTCCGCGAGACAGAATCCTTAACGTGGATAGCCATTATAGGGCCAAGGACAGTATGGAGTATTGACCAGGTAAGACATGCAGCGAGTCGGTGGATATATATACATGTGAGTTAGGATCGATGCCTATGCTTATGTTCAGCATTGGACTTGTAAAAGGCTACAATAATGTAAATATATGTGTAGCTCAGGGACTGGTCGCTAGTTTTAAATTTCATATCACGCGAGTGATAAGAGTCAATCCCCGTCGATCAGATTGTAGCGGAGGTACGAGGATTGCAATAATCATATTGCCGAAATCTATAAAAGAAACAGTGTGTACCTTTCCAGACTCGATTCTCGCTAAAATTGCTTCGGGGGTATCATCGCCAGTTGAAGCAAACGGAGTCCGACCAGATAGCATTATGTAAGCGAGAACGCCTGTAAGAGAAAGTAATATATATTTTTTTAAATAACAATAGAACCTGATTTCTATTTTAAAGTTACACACACACACGCACGCACGCACACACGCAAGCACGCACATGCACTCGCACGAGCACGCACACACACACACACATACACACACAGTTAAAGGTACGGAATGATGATGAAACTTAGGTATAAAAAACTTTCTATTATCGTTAAGTTTCAGATTCCTAAAGAAAACAAACTTTCTTACCCAAACTCCAGATATCACAGGCAGCGTCATACCCGGCACGTTTTAATACTTCGGGCGCGACAAAGTTGGCTGTATAGCATGGCGTCATGAGGAGTCCGTTTTCGGCTCGCAATTGCTTTGCTAAACCGAAGTCCACGAGACGAATGTCCTCAGGCCTCCGTTCTGCAGTTGCAAATAGTATGTTCGACGGTTTGATGTCTCTGTAAGAAAAATACTATATTTATTACATATTAAAAACTATATTTTTTATTGTAAAAGGGGTGACTTAAGAAAATTAAAGACAGATAAGGGACTACTACTTATAAAATATTTTTTTAGAAATTAAGTCAGATTTGTATTTACGGAAGAAAAATCTATACATATAATAAAAATGTAAATAGCAGACGTCTGTACATTTTATATTTTTGTAATAAAAGTGATTGAGAGATACTAAAATAAGTAATTAAATACATTTCTACTGTTTTTAGAATTGTCTGTCTGTCTGTTTGTCTGTTTGTTTGTTAACGTATCACGTATAAAGTAGTAATTTATATCATAAGAATCGTTAAGGAAAATATAAAGTGTATCTTCGGGTTACATTTAGTCTTTATTTGCATGAGTCATCAAGTGCATTTTAAACTAATATCATATTGTAAATCATAATTAAATGTTGTAACATAATGTTATAATTATTTTTAAGACGCAGTAAGCAAAAGTATTAAAGAACGTAATAAATATATAGACAAATATTTTAACCTTATTATCTACATCTAAAGTACAATTTTTTTTTCATCGATAGATGGTGGTCTTTGACAAATGTAATACAAAAAGGCAGGTTGTGGTTTTTTCCTGTAGATGAGTTTTCATATTTGCTGCTAATCTTTATATTATTCGCTGCCCTACTGCGTGTTGACAAACTCATTTGTTCTTTACCGCCGAGTACTCTAAGTGGTAAATCAAATTTTAAAAGAGCTATTAAAATTTCGTTGGTTTCGGCGAGAATCAAACTTTCTTTTTTGCTTACTATACAGGCACTGTTTTATAAGTGCTTTTATGTTTTATATAATGTATCAATTGCGTCAATTAATCTCTTATTTTTAGAATTGATGTTAACAGCGCCATCTCTCTTTAAATCTATAGGTATATATAATAAAAATAGTGATAACATGTTGTGTCTGTTGCTGTGCATTTGTTGATCGAAGTGCATTGTATGGTATGTTTGTGGCTAAATCATTATGGGGACTGAAAATCATTAAATAAGTACATTTTATATATTTTAGATTTGTCTGTCTGTCGGTCTGTCTGTGTCCTTATGAACGCATCACGTTTTGAATAAACATCTTTTTTCAAAGAAGTCGAAAATCACAAGGCGTATCCTCAAGTACATTTTTAATCTTTGTTTTATTAAAATTGGTTAATTCTATCGAAAGTTATGATTATTATTTTGAAATGTAGGTTCGAATCTGTTTAAAGGCGCCATAATATCTCAAAAATAGTAATAAAAAGATTCATGTGTAAAAAAAAACGTTCTATTATGATATATTTACACTTAAAACACAGTAAACAAAAAAAATACGTTTTCCTTAAATTAAAAAACGGATGTTTTCTCACAAAGAACGTAATAGATGGCGTTGTACAAATTGCAACCTTTTCTGAATTGTGGGCTGTTCTGAATTTTTCGCCGGTGAATCGTAGTGAGACTTACTGAAGAAATTTGTGCCCACGAGTACGATGAAGTTGAAAGAACCGTGTAGGCTAAAAGCACAAACATCACCAGAAACCAGAGAAGAAACACGCCCATCCAAGCTATACAACGAAACTCGATTAAAAGTATCAAAATTGCAACAAAATGTCGCAATATTATATAATCCCTCTAATACAAAATAACTTTCCTTTCAGTTTTAAGCGTGTTCCGTTCCCAGTCAGCGTATGTTATGTTATGCGATGACCGTAAATAAAGCGTAAGGTCAAACTTTATGCGTTCCAGGAGTGGACCTCAGTATTGTTTTGCACATGGCCAACTCTACGAGTAGGGTGGATGCCCCTATTACCAGCCTTTTAGTGCCAATTTCAACTTTAAAAACGACGATAAGCAAAAAAAGGCGTTATGGCTCAAATGCCAGCCTTCCTGTACCGAATGTCGTCCTTTTGTGTACTTAATGCCAGCATAGCATAGGGTTGTGCCTTTTGAGTTTTTGGTAAGTACCTATTGTAGGTAACTTTTAATTTTGATATTATTAAGGCAGACGAAAACATTATTTTATTTTAACGTTTTACTACTTAACTTACTGTGTTCTAGTTTAAAGAAGTTCAATAAATTAAAGCAAATTCTGATAAAATGTTATGTAGTATATCGATTTCTAATAATTTAATTATCCAAGTTTTCAAATTATCATCGTCATTACAACCTTACACAAGTCCACTACGGAACATCCTCCTCCATAGACTGCCGCAAAGCCTGGTCCTAAACCACTTTGCTTGTCATGAGTTTTTCATTTATGTTCTAAGTTGCAATTAGTATTACCAAGTTATAGTTTTTGCTTATCTATACAAATAAATAAAATTGAAGTGTCTGTTTGTAATGTCAAAATAACAGCTTTTTGAAAGTATATACTGTACGGTACCTGTAACAAAAACACAATTTTTAAAATTTTTGTCTGTCTGTCTGTCTGTTCCGGCTAATCTCCGAAACGGCTGGACCGATTTCGACGGGACTTTCACTGAACGATAGCTGATGTTATAAGGAGAAACTTATGCTACTTATATTTTAGAAAAAGAATTAGGGTTCCGCGCAACATAAATAAAACCCTAAATTACACGCGGGTGAAGCGCGGGGAACAGCTAGTCAATAATATTTTGTGTTTCCACTGCTTTTTTTTCTATGATATAATTCATTAATAATATTACACCATACAGTCGTAAATTGATTTATTTTTATTGTGTACTAATAAAGCAGATGATAATCGACTTGAATGTTTGTGCGAAGTCACTGTAATGTAGAAAATGTGTCAATGAAGAGCGTCGCTTGTTATAGGTCTTCAATATTATGTTCGTGTGATGTGCTCCAGCAGCTCGCCGCCGCGGCACAGCTCCGTCACCGCCGGGATGGTATAGCTCTGTTGGTTGTGTGGCTAACCTGTGCACGACGGTGTGCCGGTGCAGGTAGTGCACGGCGTGCAGCACGTTGCGCAGCAGCGGCGCCGCCTCGTGCTCGGGCAGGCAGCGGCGCTGCGTGATGTGCTCCAGCAGCTCGCCGCCGCGGCACAGCTCCGTCACCGCCGGGATGGTATAGCTCTGTTGGTTGTGTGGCTAACCTGTGCACGACGGTGTGCCGGTGCAGGTAGTGCACGGCGTGCAGCACGTTGCGCAGCAGCGGCGCCGCCTCGTGCTCGGGCAGGCAGCGGCGCTGCGTGATGTGCTCCAGCAGCTCGCCGCCGCGGCACAGCTCCGTCACCGCCGGGATGGTATAGCTCTGTTGGTTGTGTGGCTAACCTGTGCACGACGGTGTGCCGGTGCAGGTAGTGCACGGCGTGCAGCACGTTGCGCAGCAGCGGCGCCGCCTCGTGCTCGGGCAGGCAGCGGCGCTGCGTGATGTGCTCCAGCAGCTCGCCGCCGCGGCACAGCTCCGTCACCGCCGGGATGGTATAGCTCTGTTGGTTGTGTGGCTAACCTGTGCACGACGGTGTGCCGGTGCAGGTAGTGCACGGCGTGCAGCACGTTGCGCAGCAGCGGCGCCGCCTCGTGCTCGGGCAGGCAGCGGCGCTGCGTGATGTGCTCCAGCAGCTCGCCGCCGCGGCACAGCTCCGTCACCGCCGGGATGGTATAGCTCTGTTGGTTGTGTGGCTAACCTGTGCACGACGGTGTGCCGGTGCAGGTAGTGCACGGCGTGCAGCACGTTGCGCAGCAGCGGCGCCGCCTCGTGCTCGGGCAGGCAGCGGCGCTGCGTGATGTGCTCCAGCAGCTCGCCGCCGCGGCACAGCTCCGTCACCGCCGGGATGGTATAGCTCTGTTGGTTGTGTGGCTAACCTGTGCACGACGGTGTGCCGGTGCAGGTAGTGCACGGCGTGCAGCACGTTGCGCAGCAGCGGCGCCGCCTCGTGCTCGGGCAGGCAGCGGCGCTGCGTGATGTGCTCCAGCAGCTCGCCGCCGCGGCACAGCTCCGTCACCGCCGGGATGGTATAGCTCTGTTGGTTGTGTGGCTAACCTGTGCACGACGGTGTGCCGGTGCAGGTAGTGCACGGCGTGCAGCACGTTGCGCAGCAGCGGCGCCGCCTCGTGCTCGGGCAGGCAGCGGCGCTGCGTGATGTGCTCCAGCAGCTCGCCGCCGCGGCACAGCTCCGTCACCGCCGGGATGGTATAGCTCTGTTGGTTGTGTGGCTAACCTGTGCACGACGGTGTGCCGGTGCAGGTAGTGCACGGCGTGCAGCACGTTGCGCAGCAGCGGCGCCGCCTCGTGCTCGGGCAGGCAGCGGCGCTGCGTGATGTGCTCCAGCAGCTCGCCGCCGCGGCACAGCTCCGTCACCGCCGGGATGGTATAGCTCTGTTGGTTGTGTGGCTAACCTGTGCACGACGGTGTGCCGGTGCAGGTAGTGCACGGCGTGCAGCACGTTGCGCAGCAGCGGCGCCGCCTCGTGCTCGGGCAGGCAGCGGCGCTGCGTGATGTGCTCCAGCAGCTCGCCGCCGCGGCACAGCTCCGTCACCGCCGGGATGGTATAGCTCTGTTGGTTGTGTGGCTAACCTGTGCACGACGGTGTGCCGGTGCAGGTAGTGCACGGCGTGCAGCACGTTGCGCAGCAGCGGCGCCGCCTCGTGCTCGGGCAGGCAGCGGCGCTGCGTGATGTGCTCCAGCAGCTCGCCGCCGCGGCACAGCTCCGTCACCGCCGGGATGGTATAGCTCTGTTGGTTGTGTGGCTAACCTGTGCACGACGGTGTGCCGGTGCAGGTAGTGCACGGCGTGCAGCACGTTGCGCAGCAGCGGCGCCGCCTCGTGCTCGGGCAGGCAGCGGCGCTGCGTGATGTGCTCCAGCAGCTCGCCGCCGCGGCACAGCTCCGTCACCGCCAGGATGCGCCCGCCCTCCTCGTACACGCCGCGCAGGCTGATGATGTGCGGGTGCTGGCTGTACCTGGTGCAACAAAACATGTATTTTTTTATAAACCGAAGTGAATAACGCACGAACACCCGCTACCCTCCTCAATCCGAGAGACAAGGTACTTGAAGCCGCAGTGACTGTTTAACCTAGGTACTACATGAACCGTCCCACTCTTCACACCCACTCACGCGGACGTACGATCCAGGTGGTTCCGTGCACCGACATAGTTTATACCATAATAACTTAGGAGGCAGCACTCTAATCTCAATTTGTAGATTTTGGCGACTTTCATTTCAAGCTCGGCGGATTCCTTGGACCTCCCGAAAGTGATCCCGCTGGAGACCACCAGCGTGTCGTTTGCATAACCAACAATATTTACGCCAGCAGAAACATCTACTCGTAGAATCGCTTCATAGGCGAAATTCCACAATAGCAGCCTCAGTAATGAACTTTGCGGTAGCTCACGTTTGATCTCCTTTCGGTTCTTTTAACCATCTACCCCATCTACAAAATGTTGGTGTTACGGCCTACGACTGCTCCCTTAAAGGTCAAATCCTCAGGGGCCCATTCAGCTGAGTTTCGACGAGCAGACGTAGGTCGGGCCTCCTCCAGGCCAAAGTGGAAAATCTCTAATTACACTAAATTATATGGGGGAGCGTTCTATACTACGGCCAGTCGACCGGGAGGATAGTAGACGGAGCTTACTTACCTATATCCAAGGCGACTGGTCCCTCCGGGGTCGGTTAGGTCGCATGTGGTTGTGTAGTGCAAGGGAAATAAGGTGATGTGATGTGTATCTGGGTGTGACTGATGGTGATTGACCCTAGATCTTGGCCGTCGGCAGCAGCCTGGGCATCGACATCGCTCCGAACTGAGGGAGCCTTCTGCGGCGTGGTCCACAGTCACTTTCCTCGTTCGTCACGATGACAGTCAATTAACTTTATCGTACGATTAACTAACTTACAGAAGCCACTAACTCTCGCTGGGTATAAGGTTAACGCACAAAACGCACACGGAGTTTCCGGATCAAAGGTCACTACCGTTTCGCGAAGCAACAGTTATTTCCAGAATATCAAAGGCCGCACTAGCTAATGTTGCCGAATGCACTTATGCAGATTCTGAGTCAGACACAATGTGTCCCTGGGAAGCTCTCCAGTAGGAATGCGCGCCACAAATCCTAGACCGTATATATACTGTCCGCGCCTAATTATTCCGAGTTCCCGACAAAAATGACAGCGTGCTAACGTTAGCACCGCTTACAGACGACTCTGCCTTTTCGCTCGCGACCTGCGCGCCATTGCCACGCTCGGCCGAACTTCAACCGGTATCGCGCCGAGCCGAGTGCCATCTGGCGTCGATTCTTGACAGCGTTTGGCGCGAACAGTTGGAATTACCTAAAAGAAGATTTTTTTCCTACTAAAACATACTTTTTAAATAACTTCGACCTGGCCAGCGTGAAAACTTTGGTAATCATGGGGGGAGGCTGTAGTGTGTGCTTATATATATGTAGGATAGAATAAGAGAGAGTTAGTATTAAACCTACCGTCTAGACTATTGGACGTTTTATTTATTCCCCGAACCACCCAACACTACATGGCGACCCTGCCAGTTCATCGGCGGTCTGCCTGGGTTCGGTCGCGGGCCGCGTTTTAAAAAAAAAAAAATGTGTCGTTCTGAAGTCAAGAAAGACCAAGTATTTATTACGCAAGACACTTCAGGAGGCTCAAATTCTGCACATGTAGAAGAAATTAAAAGCCACCTGTCTGGGTTATCCGTCGTGCTGATTATAATATGCACAGTTTTGGGCTTGGCTCTTCTCTATGGTGTATACAAAATATACAAAAGTTGCCATACAAGCTGGATGCGGAATGAGATGGTAATGCACAATTTGCGTCGTTCTTTTGTGCGATCACCGGACCCAGGACCTCGTGTACCCCGTGTATGCTGTGAGTGCCGCCATGAGGACCGCCGGGAGACAACGAAAGCGTCAAGTTGAAAAAATGAGGTTTAAATTGAAAAATATGTTATAGTTTAAGTTTAAAAAAAAAGGAAAAAAAAAATAATAAAAATAGCCTTATATGTATGCCTTAAACCTTAAAATATTTTGACAACGATATTTCTTTTTAACTGTACTTCCATGTCTAGTGAATTAATAATAATATATGAAAAATTTAAAAATATTAAAAATAATTTAGTTAAATTAAGTTATGATAAGCGAACTAAAAGCATTTTGCAACAAAAACTTAAGGAATCAGTACAATTACGTAAAGAATTTGATGATTGTTTGATAATTTTAAATAAAGAGATAGAAAGTAAACAAATTAAAAGTAATGCATTAATTGAAATACAATCATATTGCGATTTAATTAAGAGTTTATATGGACAAATAGAAAACTTTTGTAGTAAGGATTACAGCTCTCAATCAACTTCCAAGGGCACTATTCAAAGCGAAATATTCACCATGGAAAGTTTCGACTTTAAAACTGCTGTGTCACTCCTGCCAGTGATGACGGGCGAGGAATCGGTCACCAAAACCTTGATGGACTCGATAGAGTTATATAGCTCTTCGCTTAAAGAAGAAGGTAAGTCTATGTTAATAAAATTTGTGTTAAAGACTCGTTTGAATGAAGGTGCTAAGTTACGCCTATTAGATTCCTATGACTCATGCGAGGCGCTTATAAGTGATATGCGGAACCACCTTTTAACAAAGAAATCTTACACTTCCATTCATAACGAACTAATGCAAATAAGACAAAATAGTAGTTCCCTAGATAATTATGGCAATAAAATCGAACAATTATTCGTAGATTTGACGATTTCCCAAGCCGATGGTGACCAAAACGCGCATAAAATTTTACGTCCTATAAATGAAAAGATCGCTATTAAAAGTTTCACAAATGGCTTGCGAAACCGACAACTCAGTATTATTTTGTCAGCACGCAATTATAGTACGTTAAAAGAAACAATTAGAGCTGCAAAGGATGAGGAGACATCTAGTGTTCGACCTAGCGAGTACACCGAACCATCGATTTATTTCGGAAATCGAGGTGGTTCAGGAACGCGTAAAAATTTTCGTGGTAGGTATACATCCAATAATGTACCACGACAAACATATCCTTGGCATACCCAAGCAAAAAATAATGTGAATTGGAGGAAACCGGTACCCCAAAAGTTTTCGTGTGGAAATCAACAACACCGCGGGAAAAAAGGTAATTATGGTGAGTACTCATACCAGAATCGCGGATCTTTTCGTGGTCAAAATGCCCAGCGAGTTCATTTTATAACACCAGAATATCGCGTATCGCAAAGTTCTCAAAATATTGAAATTAACCCTAATAACGATAATAGTGAAAATAACCTAGAATTTTTTCGAGACCAATAATATATTTAGTTGCGAATATAGTAATTGTGTTGAGTTAGCAATAGATGGTATCAAATGTAGATTGGCTCGTAGATACCGGCGCTTCTTTATGTGTGATTAAATATGACACGCTTAGTAAACTAAACATTTCATTACAAAAGAAACCGATTACAATAAACGGAATTGGAGGCAAATTACAAACCGTGGGATTTGTTGATTTAACATTGTCTGTTGACGGGCTGAAATTTAATAATAAGTTTCATGTTATAAAGCAGTTGCCGTGTGAAACTTCTGGAATTTTAGGTATAGATTTTTTACGTAAATTTAATTGTAACATAAATTTTGAATTGAATACTATTACACTGCATAATATGAATGAATTAGTAACTTTGCCATTGCATATGGGTATTTTGGGAAATAATAATTATTTGAGTATACCTCCGAGATGCGAGAATTTATTTTATATCAATGCGAGTATGATAGAAGATTGTGTTGTCTTTCCGAAAGAGTTATGCGAGGGAGTATTTCTGTCTGGTGGAATTGTCAAAGCGAATAACGGGAAGATACCAATAAAAATATTAAATACACGAGAGGATCCGGTCAATCTTAGTTATTTTAGACCTGAAACCGATAGTTTACATAATTATTCTATTTGTAAGTTTGATAAAAGTCTCATTGATCCCGAACGCGTTCATAAAATGTTAAATTTATTAAATTTGGATCATTTAAATAAAGAGGAAAAATCTTCTATTATACATATTTGTGCAAAATTTTCCGACATATTTTTATTGCCAGGAGATCAATTAACAACTTGTAACTTATATGAACATAATATTCAGTTAAAACCTAATATTGACCCAGTGTATGTAAAACAGTATCGATTACCCTATTCTCAGAGGAACGAAATAGAAACACAAGTCAAAAATATGTTACAAGACGGAATTATTGAACCAGCTTGCAGTGAGTGGTCAAGTCCTGTGCTTCTTGTACCCAAAAAGCCAGAAAATGGTGAGGACAGGAGCTGGCGCTTGGTTATCGATTTTCGAAAATTAAACAACTGTATTGTAGATGACAAATTTCCGTTACCCAATATTACAGACATATTAGATTCCTTATCAGGAGCAATGTATTTTACCCACCTTGATCTCAATCAAGCTTTTTACCAATTAAGCCTTAATCCATCTAGTAGAAGGTATACGGCTTTCACTACACCCTCTGGTCAATATCAGATGACCAGAATGCCAATGGGCTTAAAGACAAGCCCAAGTTCCTTTTCTCGTGCTATTACAATATCCATGGCTGGTTTAAATTACGAAAAAGCGCTCACTTATTTAGACGACCTCATTTGTTTTGGCAGAAACTTAGATAATCATAATAAAAATTTAATAGAAATATTATCACGCTTAAGAAAAGTAAACTTAAAGTTAAACCCGAAAAAATGTGTTTTTCTAAAAAAAGAACTTCTTTATCTTGGCCACATTGTTTCTTCCGAAGGTATTAAGCCTGACTCAAAAAAGATATCAGTATTACAAAATTACCCAATTCCTCAAAATACCAACGATGTAAAAAGACTAGTAGCGTTTGCGAATTACTATCGAAGATTTATACCAAAATTTTCTGAAATCGTTTTACCTCTAAACAATTTATGTCGCAAAAATGTTAAATTTCATTGGAATAAAAACTGTAAACTATCTTTTTCAACGCTTAAAAATGCTTTAACGACTCCTCCCATACTTCAGTACCCAAATTTTGACCAAAATTTTATTTTAAAAACTGACGCGTCTGGTTTTGCTATAGGCTCCGTTTTATGTAATCATGACGGACGACCGGTTGCATATGCTAGCCGCACTTTAAACAAAGCCGAGAAAAACTATCCTACTATCGAAAAGGAATTATTATCGATAGTATGGGCAGTAAAATACTTTCGACCTTATTTATATGGACGCGAATTCATTATTGAAACGGATCATAAGCCTCTCGTATATTTATTCAACATGACAAATCCGTCAAGTAGACTTACGAAGTTTAGGTTATTGCTTGAGGAGTATAAGTTTGTTATCAAGTATGTAAGGGGAGCTGACAATGCAGCTGCAGATGCTTTGTCACGCATCCAAATTTCGAGTGAAGATTTGAAAGAAATGAATGAAAAGGTCATATCTGTTCTAACAAGAGCGCAAAGAAAGCGAATAAAAAACAAAATTGCGCAAGATAAGCGTGACAACCCTACGGAGGATAAGGTTACCACCAACGATTGGACTGATCACCCAAAAGTCGTGGGAACACTTAAACAACCGAAGGATTGCACTGAATTATTATTTGTAGACGAAAAAGAATGGAAAAAGATAGACAGAATGAAAGAAAAGTTCTATTCTAACTCTAAGTTATTTTGTTTTGTCTCAGCAAAGTCAACAATTTATGTAAATCCTTCTTTCCGATCATATTGTGCACGAGATGCCTTTGTGAGGGAGTTGGATTGCTTTTGTAATAAGCAAAAGATAGATCGTCTGTATATTATACAAAATAATAATAACAATATATTAATTAGGGAGTTAACTCGTATTATAAATGAGACACCAAATAGGTCCGGACCGCGAATATTAATTTTAAATGGTGTCCATAAAATCGACGATCATGAGACAAAACGTATAATATTAAACGACTATCATCTATTGCCAACTAGCGGTCACGCCGGTATAAGGCGAATGATAAACAATATAAAGAAAAGATTCTTTTGGCCCGGGTTAGAGAAGGATGTGACTAATTATGTAAACCAATGTGACAAGTGTTTGCGATATAAGCACTTAAATAAGCATATAAAAGAACCAATGGTGATAACCGATACGGGATATTCTGCTTTTAATAGAGTTTATTTAGATTTAGTAGGGCCCTTATGTAAAGATAGCGATAATAATGTTTATATACTCACACTACAGTGTGATTTAAGTAAGTATGTTGAAGCCTATCCGCTTAAACATAAGGATACTATTTCAGTGGCATCGTCTTTTATCAATAATTTTATTTTGAGATATGGTATTCCTCGACAAATAATATCTGACCAAGGGACCGAATTTGTTTCAACCGTCATGAAAGACGTGTGCCGTATTCTCAAAACGCAACAGGTAACGTCAACAGCATATCATCACCAATCTATAGGTTCCTTAGAAAACAGCCACAAAAATCTGATGTCATTTCTCAGAATTCAAACAGGTAATGAACCACATAACTGGAGCACTTGGTTACCGTATTGGTGTTTTGGTTATAATAACACTGTACACACGGAAACCAAGTATACTCCATATGAGCTTTTTTTTTGGGAAGCTTTGCCGTTTGCCAACTAATTTAACTTTAGATATAGAGCCCTTATATAACCCATATGATTATCCACAACAACTTAGATATAGACTTCAAAAATCGCAATACGATGCAAGAAATAATTTAATTTTAAGCAAACAAAGTAGGAAAACAAAGTATGATTACTATACCAATCCAATTAAATATAATGTCGGTGATATGATACTCCTTAAGAATGAACAATGTGTAAACAAATTTGATCCTCTTTATATAGGACCATTTAAGGTTATCGAAGATTGTGAACCAAATGTAACAATAGATTACAAAGGTAAACATAAGTCAATACATAAAAATCGCACTAGACCATATACATAAAACAATAAAATTGTTATTATTACTATAAATACAAATAAAATTAATTAAAAATTACTGTGTTTACGATTTTTTTTTATTATGATATAAGTATGTTATAGTATAAGAATTTTAATACTTTGTAATGTACACCTTTTATATAATTTTTTTTTATAAACCAAGTTATGTTACATTTAAAAAAAAAAAAATATTTTTGTAAATGATTTTTTTTTCTTTTTGCCGATGGACGTGTAGTGTGTGCTTATATATATGTAGGATAGAATAAGAGAGAGTTAGTATTAAACCTACCGTCTAGACTATTGGACGTTTTATTTATTCCCCGAACCACCCAACACTACAAGGCGGACCCATTAGAAATAACACACAAATGATCCCAGTCCCTGACAACCCTGCTTCTTGGCTTCGCTGGCGACCATGGTAACGACAAGGCTGGGGGTGCTAAGAATATTCGACGGAGGTTCGGTGCCATCTGCGACGACACGTGTGTTAGACACACGATCTGTGGACTGACAAGAAGATTCTGGAGCTTAGGTATAGTACGCGACAGGTCGACATGGCAATCGGGTTATGAACTGAGGTGCAGGGGAGGGGACACCCCGCATACAAACACATCACCCGCGCCATCTTAGTCTTTGGATGCGTTTATCGATTTCGATCTCGATTACATTGTTCTTTGTTGTTGTGTATTAAAATGACTTCGTTCGCTTCCTCGCCACGTGTTAAAATAAAATAAAAAATCTTTTTCAAGCACGAGAATTAGCCAGAAAAGAATTAGAAAATAGTAACATTGAACGGAGAAACAATTATTATAAGAGTTTTGGCGGGAAATTGACCGGCGGCGGTTTGCTGCTCCTGTATTATTGTTTAAATAATGGTTTGAAGTGGACTTTGATATGTAAAAGTGTTGCGATTTTGTGTATTAAGTGTCTACGCATGTGAACTATTAGTGGAAACAGTGAAACAAGTGCTCTGATGGTGATGGATTCTCAAGATAAGCTGTTTGTTTGCATAGGCACCTTTAGATACCATCGCCAACTATCAGCTGTCTGCTGGATCAAGTTGCCGCCAAAATCTCCCAAGAACTGCACAATGTGACGCATCAACATATTGTGAAGCAGTATACTATGAAGGAGTGGGGAAATTACAATAAAAAGAATAAAAATACTTAAGACTTGGCCTAAAGGTCTAGATACCAGGCCATAAACTCCAAAAAAAACAATTATTATAAATACCATGTCAATCAGACATTGGATAAGGCTGCATTTTACACCGGCTTATCGAAAAGAACTTTGTCCAGAATAAAATCTGAATCAAAATTAGCAGGACCCGATAAACAATTAATCGCCCACAAAACGAAAGAAGACAGGCTAAAACTTTTGTGTAAACACCTTTGATCGTACAGTGATTCATAACACTATAACAGAATTTTATTTACAAAAGAAAATCGTTCCGACATGCCCAACACAACTTGTTGCATTACACGAAAAAATAGCTTTATCCTTGGGGTATTCGTACGATACAACGGCTGTTGAAACAAATGGGCTACACATGGCATCACTGTCAAACTAAATTATCTCTTTTAATTGAAAAGCCAGATATAGTTTTCAAACATTATCAATATTTAAAGAAAATTAGAGAATTCCGACAACACAACAGATAGATGAAACGTAGGTGGACAATAACTGACTTTTAAAAAAGGCTTGGCAAATGACTGGATCAAAAGGAATTCTCACAGATACTATTCTGGAAATAGAGTCATAGTAGCGCGCTCTAAACGAGGCATCATCAGACATAGACTGCGATAGCTAACCGTTATAGCAGTAATGTATTTTCGCAATTTTTTGTAATTTCGTAACGCCTAATTATAAAACCAAGCGTAAGGGCGCTGGTTCGACTAAACCCAAGGTATTTATCAATTTAGACTTCTAATATATTTAAAACTATATGTATATGAATACTTAAAGGCTTGAGAACTAAGTAATAAGTGTAAATACCTCAATAAAATTTCAATTTCTTCACGTGGGTCATATTGTAACTTGTCCATAATTTTAACTGCATATTGAACTCTAGAGGCTTTATGCTCGCAAAGGCGGACGACTGAGAATGAACCTGTTCCAAGTTCGCCCATCAATCTGAAAATTAAACAAAATTTTGACTAAATACTTAAACTATAAAAAAAATCGGCAAAGTGCGAGTCGGACTCGCGCATCGAGGATTCCGAACAAATCTGTAGGTATATAAGTTTAAAATTATTAAAAATATTTTTATTTTATGATGTAACTAAAAATTTATGCTTTTCGCAATTTTTTCTTTATCTGTGTTATAAAACGTTGCTTCGTACCAAATTTCAAGATTCTGAGTTCACGGGAAGTACCCTGTAGGTTTTGATTCCCTTGCGAATGTCGAAAATTTATGGCATAAACGGCTGTATCTTTTGATTGCGTTGGCTTAGAAGTTTGATTTTTTTACAGCTCTAAGGGACAATAGACTTGAGTATTTGATATGAATTTCAGCTTGATACCTCCACGCGTTCCTGAGAAAAAGGGTCTTGACAGACAGACAGACAGATAGACGAACAACAAAGTGATCCTATAAGCGTTCCGTTTTTTCCTTTTGAGGTACGGAACCCTAAAAATACGGATTAGGTGGGGAATGCCCAGACCAGCGGCGGAGAACATCTTCAAAGGCATAGATATAAAAAAGTAGGGAGATATGTTGAAAATGTATTGGAACTTGGTGCCTTCAGTTGGCTCCTACCAGATGCCAGCTACACATGCGAATCAGTAAAAGCAAATAGATAAAGAGTGACGCAAACACTCGCATATTATAAATCAGAAAGTACTACACAATCAATTATAAACCTTATTCCTACAAACAGAGCCTGCGTTTACCAAGCACCATACCACTTACTCATTCAGGTATAGACAGCCTATGTTAGTGCAGCACATTACTAACTCGTAGCAAGATATAGCGGTAGGTAGCGTACTACGCGATTGATCCGCATAAATAAAGTATCGATTATGATATTTACATTGCTTGTTCAGTCGCCTAGCAACATAATTAGGTAGTTGTTAAGGAGAATGTATTTGAAGAATGTATTTACTGCAAAACAGTACAGTCGCTGTGATATTTGAAAACAAAAATAGCGTAGTAAGAGCAAGAAATATTTTATGATTTGTGGTTATTCATTATATTAAAGATATTTATAGTAAAATACATATGGTAAGAGATTCCACGATTTACAAAGCTTTTGTTATGGCTTCGGTTTTTACAAGAAACCACTGAACAAAACGGCGTTCTCATGATGACGGTCGAAAGCGCACTAATTCGACGCGACGGTATAAAAACAGCCATTCGCATAGAACATGAGCATTTTGATTGCCACTTCATCTGGTAATGCGATTCCCAATTCCCTTGCCAAGCGTGGCGAATAAGACAAATCCTTCCTAACAGGAGAAGTCTTATTTAAAATTACAAATAGTAAAGTAAAGTTACAGCCTATATACTTCCCACTGCTGGGCACTGGCTTCGTCTACTTTCTTAAAGGCTTTTAGGGCAAGGAAATGTACGCCGCGCTACCCTAATGCGTGTTGGCGAACTTCATACATGTCTTCGAAATATATTTTGTTCCTATTTCTAGACTTAAATCAGTACTTAAAATTGCAATTAACAACTTCATTGATGCCGGCAGGGGAAACCGAGTTGCCCGCGTACTGTGAAATTTACAGCGAGCCGCGGTAGCTCAGGTGCTAACCCTGAGCTACCGCAGTACCTACTGCGATTGGCAACGATTTTACGAGCTGATGACGAAACAGAAGAAAAGAAGGTAGAAACAGCATCCTGCATTATCCTATTTTTACAAAATATTGAGTTGCATAATTAAAATACCCAATAAGTTACAGAAGATTTAGAATATATATATATATATATATATATATATATATATATATATATATATATATATATATATATATATATATATTCTATATTGTGTATAATTTAAATTTTTTCTATTTTAACGAAAGTATTAGACAGTTTCCTATCGTTTTTATTAAATCATAATATATGAAAACTGCCCACATAATTTAATTATTTATATTATGCATGAAATATTTTATAATATTATATTTTACTGTAAAATTCGCTGAAAAATTGCTAAATGTGTTGACTATAGTTTATAAATAAAACATTTAACTAACCTGTACTCGTCAAAGAAATTATTCCTATTGATGAAGCCAGACCAAAACTCTTCCGTAGAGTTTTTAGTTTGTGGTGTGTGATTTTGATTTTGGTTGGTTAATGTTTTATTATCATCATTGAGAAGACAAGGCGCGACGAAACTGAAACCTCTAAAACAGAAAAATACATATTAGCATGACTATCAACAATACTACAGCTACATTTTTATCAACAGTTAAAATTGGATTTTAATTGTGGCCGCGTGGTTGCGGCGCCAATAACAGAGGAATGTTAGAGCTTCCGATATATAGCGGTATAACCATCTTGTTTTCGTCAGTCCTCAGACCAACAGAGAAAGACGGAGCGTTGCGTACATTTCAAGTGACACAGAAACCAAGCACACAACTTTCTTTCTTTGTCATCCAATGAAATTTCACTGATAGACGCAACTAAAACCATGTTGTTGGTTGCAAATTATTTAAGATTACCTAGTTGCTAAAGAATGTAGGTACAGAAGAGAAAATATTGGTCTCCATGACTAAATTATCCAATAAATGTTTGCACAGGGCAAGGTTCTGCTTCGGTGGTGGTACATTTAAAAGTGTTCCCAAGCCATTCTATATATTTATAACACGGGGGCTATATTTTTTTGAGTTTGTATCAACAAGTTTCTCCCAGTGTTATACGCGTTACTGCCAAATAAATCCCAAGCTACATATACATTCAACTTTTTGAAATAATAAAAAATTTGGGTTTTAGTACCCGTTATTTCAAATGTGATAATATAATACTTTGTAACACATAGTAACATAGAAGTGTCTATGTTACTATATGTTACAAAGTGGAAAAATCTACGTTCTTACCCATTTATTGGTTTGAGCTTCAAAGGCGTAAGACGTCAGGAACTGCAATGCGTGCTAAGCGTAATGATTAAGACAAATCCATTATATTGCCCAGTTCCAGCTATAGACGTTCATGGGCCGATAAAGAAGTTTTCCCAAGTAGAAGTTTTTTCTTAGTCAAATTGAAGGCTTAGCTTTCCATTGACGTCCGTCGAGTTGATACGTATTTTTACAGAAAAGTTACACTATTATAAGCACACACACAAAGTTTCAATACGCGGAAACGCGTAATTTAAGCCATAACTCTGTCTAATCCTACAGTAAAATAGGGATGTGAAAAAATAATCGATTTTCATATTAATCGATTATTTTTTCTTATAATCGATTTTTCGAAGTCGATTTTTTTTATAATAAAAATCGATTTTTAGTAAATCGATTTTTATGTAAATTACGCGTTTCAATCGATTTTTGTAATCAGAGTCATCTGTGCGATGGACGTAAAAACGTGAAGTAAGTTCAATAATATGAATAAGTCAATCAAAAGACGGCGCCACTTTTATGTATCTCTATGCATGTAAAACAGTTTCGCTTTTCGTATGTTTTCAACAGGTTTCATCCTCCGCTAGAAGTAAAAGTATTCTGTGGTTTTCTTTCTTTCTTTGATTAGTGTAAACAATTATATATAAACAATAAAAATGTCTTATGAAACGCGTAAATGTCACTGACAGAAGTATTTTATAATGAAAAAGTGATAGCGGCCAACACCGTCTATAGGCAAAAATTCTGAATTGGATCTATATATTGCGGCACCACTATCAAATCTCAAGGCAGATGCCCTCAATATATGGAGAAGCTCTGAAGGAACTTTCCCTAAACTAACCGAATTGGCTTTTAAACACCTCTCAGTAATGGCCAGTTCCGCGCCAGCCGAAAGATTATTTTTGAAAGCGGGAAATATTGTCAGGAAAAAACGAAACCCTATTTTGGGAAAGAGACGAAGAAGAATTTTGGTGAAGTGATAGTTTTTAAAGTCTTTAACTGAAAATTCATGGCAATATTTTTTTTACTTTTTATGTTTACACAAGTCTTTTTTTAAACACAAGTTTAAAAAAAGATTTGTCTTGTATTTTAGTTTTGAGATCAAAGGTTGTCGTCGGATTATTTATAATTATATTTTTATTTTATTTTCATTCTAATCCAATGTAAATGATACTGAACATTAGTGGCATAATGATATTTAGACTTTTTGTTTGTTCAAACTTAGTTTAAAAAAAACTATCGTTTACTAAAATTATGGTTTCTTAATGATTTCTTATATTCATGCGAAGACTACACATTAAATGAAATGAATTTTTGCGGATTTGCTTAATTTAACTTTTTAATTCCTGACGTTTCGGGTGCTTCACAGCACCCATGGTCACGGGGGGAACTGAGGTCTTTGACGTCCAGATATCATAGTTAGCCTGGCTAAATTCAGTTTTTGAATATTAATTTTAGGTCCGATCTACGCAGAATGAGCTTACAGTATCTTGAAGTCTTACAGTGATATGCTTGGGTTTGGATTTAATTTTATTAATTATAGGATGCCAAGCAAATGGCAGCACCCATCCATCTTCTCTATTGAAATTAGGATGTTTTTTAATTTCGATACCTCGCGAATCATCCTTGGTAGGAATCGGTGTTCTTTTGCGAGGATTTTTGGTTCAACTATGACATAGGGACGTCAAACACCTCAGTCCCCTCTGTGACCATGCGTGCTGTAAAGCACCTGAAATGTCGGGAAATAAAAAGTTAAATTAAACGCGATAAAATCCGTAAAACTTAGTTTAATTTATCGTTTCTGTTTATTTTGGTTGTAATAAATTGTTAAATGGCACTGAACATTTGTGGCAGTAATTATTTTTAGTTTTTTATTGTTCAAAGTTATATGTTAAAAAAATTGTTCTGTAGTTTATTTCTAAAATTTATTCGAATAAAATATTTTTTTTCGCAAAAATCGATTATTTTTTATAAAAAAATCGATTTTTCTTAAATCGATTATTATCACGAAGCAAAAAATCGATTTTTATTAATCGATTTTTTTCACTCAATGTCACATCCGTACAGTAAAACTGGCGCCATTTTGTAATGTCAATGTCGACGTCAATAGGGATGTCGATTCTTTCCGAAAAAGGTCGATTTTTAAATCAATTCAAATCGTAAGCTGATGTATCAGTTCACAAAAAATCAATTTCTAAAATATCTATATTTTTTTTGTTTCTATTTATAATGTAAATATAAACCCATTTTATGAAAAACAAGAAAGATACCATGATAAAGGATCTCTTATTGAAATTTGTTTATAGGTTAGGTTCAACTTATGTCAAAGAACCGAATTGATCCTTCTGAATCAGTCCCCTTATTTTTTTATGACGAAGGGAATTTTTTTCTTATAAAATGGATTTATATTTACATTATAAATGCAAACATGAAAAAAATATAGGTATTTTAGAAATCGATTTTTTGTGAATCGATACATCAGCTTACAATTCGAATCTATTTAAAAACTCGATCTTTTTCGGAAAGAATCGACATCCCTACTGACAATAATAATAAAAGATGGCGTCAGTTTTATAGTAGGTAGGAATTGATATAAATATTGCAAAAATATTTGATTTTCAATACTTTTCTCTCAAAAAGCACATGTTTCCGCATATTGAAACTTTGTGTGTGTGTACTTATAAAAATGTAATCTTTCTGTAAAAATACGTATCAACGCCAAACTCGACGGACGTCAATGGAAAGTCGTACCAAATTGAATCCTACGATAACACAGCTAAATTTAGAAATTTCAAAGTTTTCATACACGCATAGGAGCATGAGGCGGCAGTGTAAGAATATCTACTATCGCATATCGTTCCGTCAGAGTCGCCTCTTAAGACTCTCACGGAACGATTAGTGTACTTTTTTCCAAACGTATATTAGTCCGATAATCTACAAGGTCTCTCTTTTATTTGAGAAGAATAGTTGATTGGATATTATTTTTATATTGCTTATTTGTGAGGCAGAAGAAGAAAATGACGAGAAATGGAAGAATATCAGAAAAAGGAAATGAAATATTTGGGTTAGTGATTTATGGAAGAAATGAAAACGTCACCCTTTGCGCCCATTCTCGCGGATTCCACAAACCGTCAGTAACTACTGGAATTTTTGAGAATTCCACGGGAGAAGCGCGACTTCTTTCTTGGCTTATATCTAGTTTTGCACGTTACGCCATTAGAATAAAATTCATTTTACTATGTACAATTTTATTACAAAAATTCCGCTTCCATTCTGTTCCGCGGCAATGAAAATTGAGCCTAATTGCGAGGCTGTGGGCGAGAGCCCACTACGCCCACGCCTACCTACGCCCCTCACTGCAATAAAAGGAACGTGGTACCTACGCTTAATATATTTAACATATTTTCATTAATTTGTAAACAGATACACAAATATACATCCATGCACAAAATAATATTTAATTAATACTACATACCGTGTATTATAGCGGGGTAAGTATATCCATCACCCCATATCATCTCGTAGATGTCGTAAGAGGCGACAGAGGGAAATAAACCAGAAGATAGGCAGCAGCGCCTTTCTAATAACATCTAGAAAGTAAAAATCTGCGGTGCCTGCCTGCCTGCGAGACGTGGCTTCTTTGGCAAACATCCTCTCAATGAGGCAATCTATGAGGGGGCCTATGTTCAGCAGTTAACTTTTGATAGGCTGTAATGAAGATGAGGCATATATTTATCGATTAATATGTTTAATGCACAATTTAAATTTCTTATTCTTATTATGTATAGGGCAAAATTTATTGAAGGCGTCTTAATATAATATTATGTAGAAAAGATGCCAAGATTGAAATCATAAAAGTAGCTTATTGAGTTTTGATCTATTTATATAGTGCCAACATCTTAAGCCTTGACATCAAAATAGTCTTAATGCAGTGTATAGAAACCGCAAGCGAGTTTGATCCTTTTATGCACGAACAGTTATTCTAAGCATGTATACCATTATATTGTTGTAAGGAAGTATAAAATACTTTATGTGTATCAATATCTATGGTGTTCCCCTTATATTAATCATGTCATCATGATCATGTTAGTAGATAACACTAATCTAATCGCTGAGAATTTGTATCACAGCGTAAAAGTTTAAAATGAAAATTTCTATTATGTAAATAAAACTTCTATGTGGAAATAAACTATAAGTATCCTAATTAGCAAATAAATCATAAAACCTATATTTCAACTTGCATATTGTATTATAATATCAATGGATAATCATATATGAACAAGTTAATTATTAATAATGAAGTAACTTATTACCAAAGACAAGATAGCCGCCAGCATTTATCTCTTATAAGTTATAAAATGACATGTTCGTTCGTTCTGCACTTCAAGCGGATACTTTTTACATTTTCTCGAGCGTTGTTTTTGTAATAAAATATATTTTATAAGAAATCATTATATTATTATTTAGAGATATGTCCACATAATTAGGTACCTATTTAATGACGCCATAGTTACAGATTTATTATTTTATTAGTGACCCGACCACAGCTCCGCAGTTTTCGATTTTTTCGCGTATAATGTCAAGGGCCTTAAACTATCATTCAGTGTAAGTAATACCAGTATTAGTAGTAGCCTACTAATGCAAGATCAGCATATACTGGTTATTAGTTAAAACACTTGGTCGATAAAAGAAAGAGATTGAAAATAGCAGCACTTCTCATTGCCACTCTTTCATTAATAAAGCCGTCGCGTGTCGCATGGTTTGTAAATAGCAAAAAATGTGAAACAGAAAATCGTAAGTAGGTTAATTATCCGAGACTATAGACGTTGTTGTAATCTTAATTTTTCTAGATGTGTTGTAATTAACCTTCCTCACATTGAAGAATAATGTTCTTATTATCAGTAAATTATTAATACATTGCATAACACCTCGGTGTACGAACTAATATCAAAGGATGTAATTTGTTTTCTCACAACACCTAACCCTACAGTAGGAGCGGCCTTAACAAAGGCGCGTAAAGAGCTAAGTGATACATGCTCTCGTACACGGGCGTAAGGTGCATTTTGATTTAATACGCAATAATCGGTAGGCTATTTTAACGAAGATCGCATTCGAGGCGTGTAAAGTATTAAGAACATTAGCTACGTTGTAAGTAGGTTTAAGCTCGCACGTTTGCTATCAGAAAGTGATTCTTCTGTTTTTGTATTATTATTTATTCTGTGGTAATGGCAAGAAAATGGTAATAAACAGAGCCAAGACATAGGATAAGCTGTCGTTTATTTCAACAAATAATTCAAAAGCTCATAAAAATCGTTGCTAGAACAAAGATTAATGCAATATATTCTCGCCTAATTGGATTTGCGGTTTCATTAACTGACCATTTTCACTAGCAGCGATAATGTTGTTTCTAAAGGTTATATTCTATGTGCGTAATTTTTCTTCGATCGAGACCCTACGCTGTTCTATGCAACCTGTGCTTCCTTATACACTAAGGTAAAAAACTGGCTAGGATGAATCTTATGTAAAAGATATCTTGAAACAGCACAAAGTCTAAACGATTATATGACTGGACTTTTGTACACGTCATACAGACAAAACTTTTAATGTCATGGTCCTGCATGTTTAAATAGGATTATGAAAGAATCGTAATAGGTCTTATACTTTAATTTTACCTTTTAAATTACTGTAATTTTATGAATTCTCAATATACGCGCTATATTAAACAAATTTGTAAAAGCATTTCAGGTAAAACATTGCTTTTATTCACAACAATTTGCCTCCAAATGAAGATATAAATATATATTAGCTACTTGACGTTGGAAATATTACTTCGGTATATTCAAGTGACAATGTTACCTGAACAACTCATGTGCATTAGCCGAAGCTGGTACACCGGGCGAGTCACGCGGAGTTCGACAAGTAAACTCCGAGTCGAAATAAAATGCGTCGTCTGCTCTCGAAACGGCTGGTCTAAAAGGAGGCACCACCTGTGACAAATAATGTTGGGCTATTGTATTTCATTGTGCTACACTGCGTTCGAGAAACTGCGACAAATTTTCTTGTCTGATACTCCTCAGAATCTTAAAATGAAAATGTGGAACCAGTATGCGTTGCCAATGACAACTTACGGAACTAATAGACAGTCCTTCACTACTGGTCTGATGGGGAAGCTCAATGTTACTCAGCGTGCAAAAGAATGGCCCTATCATCAGAATTTTTCTACGGGATAGAGTCTGTAACGAAGATATCCGCAGAAGAACAAAAGTAGTTGACATAGCCTTAGTTGTAGCCATAGTTTGATCCGCTCGACCGGGGAAGGACCAAGCTCTCACAGAATACTAATATATATATGTATATACAGAATAATAGTGTAGAGAATCGGTCACCCTTTTTACTGCAATCGAGGCATTCCATCTTAGTAGCATATTTCGCAGCAGTAAGTATAAACTGCCGCCGTTCGTTCGTAAAAATTTCATAAATTTGGACATTGCTTGTCTTCGTTTTAAACGCACAAACAAACAAAATTTGGAAAATCAAAAAGTGCACACGAACGAGACGGTATACAAAAGTAAAATTTATAAGTCTTCCTAAGGATTATAATCTAAAGCTAATTTAAAAAAACGGTTGACCCTACAGACCATTCCTGGAACTTCCTGCTAATTTCAAATGCAAAGCACTCCAATTTCCACCTATTCTTACATATATATTTGAAAAAAAAAAAAGTTTTTCGAAATTTTTCGTGAACGTTTTCTCTTCAACGCATCAAAAGAGTTTGATGCGGTTTGGAGCAATCAACGGCGTTTTTCGAGTTTACGAGCTAACTACAATTTGGTATTGGCGTTACATCTGTTTAAAAGTTATTTAAAAATAAAACATGCGCACGCGCACACACACGAACACACACACACACACGCACAGAGAGAGAGAGAGAGAAACATACACATACACACACGTGCGCACACACACACACAGACACATATCTTGCGACCAACTGACGTCCTAGTGAAATAATTTGCAATTAACTTTCTTTTTAATAATAATCTTATAACTTCGTCAGAAGTATTAATTGAAATCTCCTCTTGCTATTGGTGTACTTTTTTATTATATAAGTGTATAAAGCTGGTGGAAGTGATTTAAGTTACATCGCCGCTTCGCGTTCGACGTGTGAAACATACCATACCCATACCAGCCAAGCCGTTTGAGCTATAGAGTGTGCCAAAGGAATAGACATACATTTAAACACTTGACAAACACGCGAAAATACGCGATATCTTCGCCAATCGTAAAATGTGTTTTAATGGTTGGATTTTAAAATTTTGAGCAGGAGATGAAATTATTAATTCAGTTTTTTACTTTTTCGTATTTTAAATGGGAATCATTTATAATACGAAAAAGCAAAAAAAAAAAACAGACAAAGGAGACCTTTTCTAGTGATGTTATACTGATCCTCGAGCCCCGACGGTTCCACAAAAAATGAGATTGACTTCATTATGACGACCAGACGACAACTGTTCAGTGATGTCTCCGTGATCGCGAGGGTGAAAACTGGTAGCGATCACCGAATGGTTAGAGGCACACTAAACCTAAACGTTAAGTTGGAGAGGTCTCGTCTAATGAAGTCAACGCTCCGTCCCCCTCGTGCTCTAATCCAAAGTCCCGAAACCTTTCAGCTCGAGTTACAAAACCGTTTTCAGTGCCTAGAAGACTGCAATGAAGTGGACGATATGAATGACAAGCTCGTGGAAACTGTCCATGCGGTCGGAGCTAAGTTCTGCAAGACCCGCCGCAGAAGAACACAAAAACTCTCCGATCACACTCTTAATCTCATGGCTGTTAGACGGGAGATGAAGCTACATTCTTCAACAGACTTGACAGCATACAGGCATCTGAACAGACAGATCTCCAAATGCATGCGGCAGGACTTACGCAACTTCAATACAACTCGTATTGAAGAAGCGATCGAGCGGAACCAAGGCTCCAAAGTCTTTGCCAGAGATCTGTCTGCCAGAAAGAGCCAACTGTCAAAGCTGAAGACAGAATGTGGCAGCATCGTTTCCGGGACAGCTGAGATTTTGAGTGAGATTGAAAGGTTCTATGGGCAGTTGTACACGTCATCGTTGGAGCCACACGCAAGTGTGAGTAACGATCCAAGAGCGAGTCTCATCCGACACTATTCCGAAGATATCCCGGACGTCAGTCTGAGCGAGATTAGAATGGCTCTCCAGCACCTTAAAAACGGTAAGGCCCCAGGCGAGGATGGAATTACAGCGGAGCTTCTGAAAGCGGGTGGAAAACCGGTACTTGAAGTCCTTCAGAGGCTCTTTAATTCCGTCCTCCATGGTGGCATTACACCGGAGGCGTGGAGCAGAAGTGCGGTGGTCTTGTTCTTCAAGAAAGGTGACAACGCTCTCTTGAAGAACTACAGACCGATTTCCCTTCTGAGCCGCGTCTACGTGCTGTTTTCGAGAGTCATTACGAATCGTCTTGCGCGCAGACTTGACAACTTCCAGCCTCCCGAACAAGCCGGTTTCCGAAAGGGCTTTAGCACCATAGACCACATACATACCCTTCGGCAAATTGTACAGAAGTCCGAAGAGTACAATTTGCCACTATGTCTGGCGTATGTGGACTATGAGAAAGCCTTTGATTCCGTCGAAATTTGGGCGGTGCTGCAGTCCCTTCAGCGGTGCCAAGTTGACTGTCGGTATATCGAAGTGTTGAAGTGCTTGTACAGTAGGGCTACGATGACTATCCGAGTACAGAACCAGTACGAAAAAACAGTACGAAACCTATCCAATTGCAGAGAGGTGTAAGACAGGGTGACGTCATATCCCCGAAACTCTTCACCGCTGCATTGGAAGACATTTTCAAGCTTCTGGACTGGAAAGGATACGGTATCAACATCAATGGCGAGTACATCACTCACCTTCGATTTGCCGACGATATAGTCCTTATGGCAGAATCGCTGGAGGACCTAAGCACTATGCTCAATGACCTCAATAGTGTTTCCCAACGGATAGGTCTTAAGATGAACATGGACAAAACTAAGATCATATTTAATGTCCATGTCACACCTATGCCGGTAGTTGTTGGGAACACTAAGCTCGAAGTTGTTGACGAGTATGTTTACCTGGGGCAAATAGTCCGACTAGGTAAGTCCAACTTCCAACGTCCGACAAGGTCAATCGACGGATTCAACTCGGTTGGGCAGCGTTCGGAAAATTACGGCACATCTTCTCGTCAGGTATACCTCAAACCTTGAAAACGAGACTGTATACCCAGTGCGTGTTGCCAGTGATGACATACGGAACTGAGACGTGGTCCTTCACTGCTGGCCGGATGAGGAAGCTCAAGGTCGCTCAGCGAGCTATGGAGAGGGCTATGCTCGGAGTTTCTCTGCGTGATAAACTTAGGAATGAGGATATCCGCAGTAGAACCAGAGTAACCGACATAGCCCAACGGATTAGTAAGCTGAAGTGGCAGTGGGCCGGCCATATAGCTCGAAGAACCGACAACCGATGGGGAAGAAAGGTTCTCGAGTGGCAGCCTCGTACCGGTAGGCGAAGTGTAGGGCGTCCCCCCACGAGATGGAGTGACAACCTGGTAAGACATGCAGGAAGTCGATAGATGCAGGTGGCTCAGGACCGTGCTTTGTGGCATTCTTTGGGGGAGGCCTATGTTCAGCAGTGGACTTGTGAAGGGCTGTAATGATGATGATGATGATGATACTGATCCTGCTTTATGTAACTATAGTGAAAAATAACTTGTTACAGTGTAAAACAGTGAAAAATCACCCGTTACAGTGTAGGTTATACATAGGTCATACCTAATCTCACTTTTACTTATTCTACAATAACTCAGCTCCTAGATTGACAAATCTTGCCAGATTTTCAGGTATGAATTATTTATTTATACTTTTTCAAATGGTCCTGCTTTCATCTTGTTAACACTTGGGCCCAAAAATCTATTGAGACGTCTCCTTATCCTTTTAGTTCTATTCACGTTTTGTTAAAATGCAATTTTTTTTTGTCAAATTAAATTAAGAACAAATTTTACAAACAAATTTGACAAAGGACAAATCTTACCAAGAAATCCAAATAAACCAACCTCTTTTTTAAGCAAAGCATCCCAGTCAATGCTTGCAAAAAACTCATGGTTCTTGATGTCTTCTATGCCATTAGGACCAGCACCCAATCTGTAAAACAAGGTTATAATTAGTTTTTTTTTTTAATTTTTAATATACTTACATATTTTATTCAATAAAGTTGGACTATAACTTGATTGCATATAGTTTTAAAATGTAAGAGTTTTAAGGGAAAGCCATGCCTGTTTTGCGGGTTCCGTTTAAACAAAGCACGGAGTAACGACTGAGCCTCTTCGCTTAGATTTGACGGCATACCAAGTTTGGCCTTTAAAATCTGCGTCATCGTTTCGTGTCTGGTAGATCCATGAAACGGTAAATTTCCTGTGAGCATCTCAAACTGAAAATATATAAAATCGTGGATATATAGACAATATTATCTTATCTGCCTGTTGGTATTATTATCTGAAAATAATGGATTGAATGGTTATTTTTGAATACTGTGGGTAATTTTACTGGCATATATCTAATATATAAAATTCTCGTGTCGCGCTGTTTGTTACCAAATTCCTCCGAAACGGCTCAACCGATTTGTATGAAATTTTGTGTGCATATCGGGTAGGTCTGAGAATCGGCCAACATTTATTTTTTAAACTCCTAAATATTTTTTTATTTTTTTTTGACATTTTTTTTATTTCTATTTTATTATGATTAAGCATTGAAAAATACATAAAACTTCAAATTTTCACCCTTCTACGATCAACCCCTATTTTTTAATCGCGATTTTTATTGTATATGGCAAAACAACGTTTGCCGGGTCAGCTAGTTATGCTATAGATGTATAGTAGAGTAAAATGGAATGTAAGATCATACAAATAGATATTATTCTAACTCCGGAAGATATTTGGTCATTTTAATGATAAATGTTTAGATCCTTTTATCATTAGAATAACTTAAAATTATATCACTGCAGTATAACGCTTAGTTGATAACTTTTTGTTACTTAAACTAATAGTATAGTAATTGTAGTTGTAAGTTAATGGCCGAACAATTCCTCAGAGCAATCCCCGTGGTAATGCGAAAGAGGAAATGCAAAGGGTTGCAACATCTCTTGGCAGCACCAGTGAATAGAGCCGATCGCAAAGGACTCGGTCGTCGACGATTCGAGCCGCTCTGCGCGGGATGCGGTCAAGTGGAAGGAGCTGGCACTGGGGAGTCTCAGCCCAGAGATGGCAACAGTATTCTATGTGAGGCCGAATCAGCGACTTGTAAAGTTGCAGGGAGGGTGCCGGCATGAAATACTGTTGTAATAAGACCTGATATCTGTCCGGATGAGAGGTCAGCAGAAGGTCCAACAGGGAAGGTGCATGATACTCCACATCTAGAATCCGCGTAGATGAAGTAACCAGTTGTGTCAGACCATATACCAAGGCAAAGTCATGAATAGATCTCCCCGCATGATCGATTAAACGTGAACCGAGCCAGTCTGTATCAGAGTTGTCGTTGTCATCGAGCGATACGGTTATAATACAGCTGTCTGTGTGAAATTGTTGGTTTATTATTTTAATTGTTACGAGTGAGTTTCGTAGTTACAGACACTTGTTTCGCAGATCCCCCGTCCCCCTCCCCAAATTTTCTGTTTCGGGAAAAAACGCTATGGCTACTCCCCTAAGGTCCGCCTGTGTTGCTTTATGACGCTTGATTTACATATATGGTTACTTCTTAATTGGTGTGATTGGTTATGTTATAAGTATTATTAGCAAAAAATAAGGTTTATACGATAAAATCGAAGAAAAGATCAAGCACAGTATTAACATTACATTTCGGGGTGTGCGCAAGGTTTACACGATTTAATTCATCCCTCCTCTTTCCACCATAGAAAAAAACAGACTTTTGGCGTCATCGGGTCTGCGCCCCTTTGTGTTAGATTATCTAAGTGTTATTCCACGCATCCGAACTAAACGGTTTGCTTTGTCTTTCTTAATACATCAATGTAGTGGATTAAGCCAGCATCTGTCTATCCGGCCCGTTACAATGTGGATATCTTCACGATAACAGTAATAAGGGTTTTGTTGTGCTAAGTTGTGTGCAATTTACTATCTACGCTTCACACCATCAAGGATTAGTCAAGTAGGGGACGGGGTGGGAAGGGGGTTAGGGCGGGCAAAATGGATATTTTCTCCATATAGTAATGCGAGAACTAGCGTTTTTCTTATATTTGTATACGAATAGAAAAACGAGAGAGAAATAGTGCATCATCGTGCCATTACGCTTATTGCGCGCCGTAAAAAAAAAAGTAAAAAAAAAACGGAGGCAGTCATAAGGACTGCCGACAGAAGTGAAAACTCAATTATATAATATGTGTATACATGTACACATGCCGCTATAGCAACGCGACAAGTAGTAGACATGTTCGTGACGTATAGCGAGCAAGAGCAATACGTCACGAGCATGTCGAGGTCATTGGTGACACAAACCCCTATCAAAAATTGCTCAACGCGGTTAAAGAAGTTTTCACTTCAAAAACACGATTTCAAAATATCCAGTACGTTAAGATAAAGCGCATGTGATTACAACCTCAAAAGCAAACAAGATGAAATGCGCATACGGATTGGTTGTTAAAAATACTAAGAGATCTTTTGAAGACGTCCATGACGACTGACTCAATTCCTTCCATACGCAAAATAATGAACGTTTGCCTTATTTTATTGAGTAATAAAGAAACAGACATAAACATGTCGCACGGTCGGGCATACCGTTCTCATTTCTAAAACGGGTTACCTCACAAGTCCTCGACACATTTTAGTAAGAAATGAGACTTACTCGCCGAACATGTTGTCAATCGTTAATTAAAACAGCTTTTACTAATTAGTGGTATGAGCAATAATCAAATTGTTAGAGTACTATTAAATTTAGGGCAAGCGTTTAATTCTTACGCTATATGATACTCTTTAATGTAAAAACTTCTAAGTAAAAAAGAAGGTTGAGTCTGCTATGAGGATTTAATCCAATTACACCTTAATACTTGAGTATTCAATATTTTACTTATTATTCCAAGCCGACGTTATCCACAAATATTCCGTTACATAACAAATATTTTAAATCTGAACCTATAACACCCAGACTGAAGGGACATCTAAAGTTGTGGAATAGCACTTAATTGAGAAAAACCAACGACAGTTAATATTTTTAAAAACTATCAACTCCGGTGCTTCGAGCTAAACGGCTAGCGTACTACTACTTCAGTTCGCTTATATTATATCAGGTTTCAGTGCACAGTTAACAGGTTTTGTTATATGCTTAATTTAGTTGTTTAAATAATTAACCGGCTGCAAAAAAAGGAGATTATTTTCAATTTGACTGTATTCTTTTTTTGTATGTACGTTGCGATATTTTGTATTAATACTTATTATAAGCCAGTGTATAACCACAATTCTACCAAGTGGTAAGTGTTGATTGAACTGTAGATGACAAATTGCACAATACTTAGTGCAACAAGCCTATTCACTCTTACCTTGAAGACACCTATATTGTAATCGGAAAATCCGACCGTTAGTTGTGATGAAGGTCTAGAATCTAGAATCACACTTCGAATTTGCTGTTCCTCTCGGGAACCAAACTATAAAAAACTGGCTCAAGACCGTCGGTGTAGTTTCTCACATTAATTTTACGTCTTGTGTTTTATAATTCAGAATTTGATTTGACACTAAATTAATACATAGTACTTAATTATTATCATTTGTTTTTTTCTGGACCTTGTTAAAATTTTCCCACAGTATCCGGACCCCACCTAAAACTACATGCCGACCCTTGGTCTAGATGTTAATTCGCAATCTTAGCGTAACAAAAATTTATTCAATTTTACCTTGAAGACGCCCAGATTGTAATGGACGTAAAGAAAGGCGACGGCAAATTATTCCACTCTTGCTGTGTGCATTACGAAAGATGAAATAAACGTTTTGTGTGAATGCGTTGAATATCGACGGCAAAGGGATGAATTACCGCCGAACGCGTGTTATCCGAAGGTGAAATGGGGATGGGGGGGTGGGGGGTGGAATTAAAGCATGTAGTTCCTGCGCATATTCTCAGAAAGACATCCTACAGAATCCGCTACTCGACACCTGTGTTGTATGCCATGTAAGATTGGTTTCAACTAAATGAAGGTCACCATCAACCCTCTAGCACAATTCTTTACTAAATTTGTTGCTACACTAAGTGACATTTTACAGCGTTAACCTACATAATGCAACAGCAGTAGTCCATTCTCGATCAGACTTGTGCTTGATTAGGTCAGTCGCTGCTGCTCAAAGTTGAGCTTTGGAAAAATTTCAACTTAGGCTAGGCATCAGCCGTATGTTTGTGCATCACACTATTGACAGGTATACAACAATTTCTCTGCCGATAGCCTTAAAAGTTGGGGTTGACATCATGCTGTTAGATTAGCCGGGCTGTGATCTCAAAATAGTCAACAATTTTACAAGGAAATATCAAAATTAGCTTCTGGACAATGTTCTAGACTTCATAAAGATTGGCCCTTGTTCAATCCAGATCTGAACCTATTGGATTACAAAAAATTTGGAAAACCCAAAAGTGGACGCCTCATGAGCGCTTTATTTAATTTTGATGGAAAAAATAAAAATAGTGATGATAATTTTTAAACGAAAAAAAAAACCAGATAAATAAACAGAGAATCTGATCAACATTCATTAACCTTTAAATAACGACGTGTGGTCTGACAAACACTTTGAGAGTTTAAAAAAGTTCGCGCTTCTCTCTACCCCTCGGAAAGTTGCCCGGAAGCGTTCGTGGATTCTCTGAGTCGGGGCGTGCGGTTCCGGTAAGTTTTGATTATTATAAAATCGCGAGTGGTCTGTTAGACCACTCGTCTGTACTCATGTTACTTTTTTGGCACGACTTTTTTCAGATTATATTGCTTTTCTCTGTTATTTTCAAACAATTATAAAAATGGATCAGCCAGGTACTTCGGGCATGAAACGGGCAGCCACAAAATGAAAATAATAGTGTTTCTGTCGGTAAAAAAACATATATGAAACAAGGGCCCAAAATAAAAACCACGCAGAAATTTTTGCGGAATGGCTAAATTAGAGCTCAGAGTCCGACTTTGACGATATCGACCCGAATTTTGTTGCCTTGAGGAGTGACCGCTTAAAAATATGACACCTGTATGAAACATGTGTGCCTACACTGATATAAAGAATGTTTATAACATTTGATAGTTCCTACAACTTAATGCCTTGTGATTTTCAAGAAAACTGTTGATTTTTTGTTTTATTATTATTTTTATTGTTTATAAAGTTATTATTCTTTAAGAAAATAATGTTACCAAGATAAAAATATTGTTTAATTGATAAATGTTAATTATTAAGATAAAGGTTAATTTCTCCCCCAAATAATTTGAGACTGCAATATTAATGATTTTAATTAGTAATAAATGTGAAAACATCGATATTGTGTTTACGTTTTGTATACGATAACTTGATATATTAACAATACATAGTAACGGTTTTCTTTTTTTTATAGAAGAGTGGGCAAACGAGCATGCGGCTCACCAGATGGTAAATGACTACCACTGCCCATGAACAACCGTAGCACCAGGGGAATTGCAGATGCGTTGCCGGCCTTTTAGAAAGGTGTAAGCTCTTTTCTTGAAGGTCCCTAAGTCGTATCGGTCCGGAAAAGTCGCCGGTGGTAAAAAATTCCACAGAGAAGTTGAACGAGGAAGAAAACTCCTAGTAAAACGTACAGTCGTGGACCGCCAAGCATCCAGATGGTGAGGATAGTATCGTGAACTTCGACGCGATTTGCATTCGTGAAATTTGGCGGCTGTAATTAATCCGAACAATTCCTCAGAGCACTCCTCGTGGTAAATTCGATAGAAAATGCAAAGGGATGCAACATCCCTACGCAGTGCCAGTGTATCGAGCCGATCAGAAAGAATTCGGTCGTCGACGATTTGAACCGCTCTGCGCTGGATGCGGTTAAGTGGAAGGAGCTGGCACTGGGGTGCCCCGGCCCAGAGATGAGAACAGTATTCCATGTGGGGCCGAACTTGCACTTTGTAAAGTTGCAAGCGATGTGCTGGCATGAAATACTGTCCCGCTCTGCTGAGCACGCCAAGCTTTTTAGAGGCCAATTTGGCCTTCCCTTCCAAGTGGCCACGAAACTGCACACTATTCGATATATCAACGCCGAGGATTTCGATGCTAGCTGAGACAAGAAGGGGAGTGCCTTGAAAATGAGGAGATACGACAATGGGGTTCTTTTTAGCGGTAAACGCGCAAACTTGTGTCTTCTGGGGATTGAAGTGGACTAGACTTAGTCGCCCCCAATTCGAGACTTTGTTAAGCAAAGACTCGACTTCAGACACATGTTTGTCCCGGTACTCGGCGAAGTTTTCCCGAGAAATATTGGCACGGCCGATATATAAGGCATCACCAATGCTGTCTTCTACATAGCAATTAATACTACCAGCTTACAACATATCATTGATATGCAGGAGAAACAGCGTTGGTGATAGCACGCAGCCTTGTGGAACACCAGCGTTGATAGGCTTGAAATCAGAGCATGCACCGTCTTCTACGACCTTGATGCTCCGATCAGCAAGGAAACTGGTGATCTAATTGCACAAGTTCTCGGGAAGGCCATAGGAAGTAAGCTTCGAAAGAAGCGCTTTGTACCAGACCCCATCGAAGGCATTCGCTATGTCCAAACTGACGGCCAATGCCTCCCCCTTTGACTCTACTGCCTCCGCTCATCTATGGGTCAGGTAGACCAGAAGGTATCACCAGCTGATTGACCCCGACGAAAACCGTACTGGCGGTCACTAATCAGCTGGTGATCCTCAAGGTACCTCATGAGCTGGCAGTTTATAATGGATTCTATTATTTTGGAGAACAAGGAGGCGATAACGATAGGCCTGTAGTTGGACGGGTCTGAGCGGTCGCCTTTTTTAGGGATCGGGTGGACCAAAGCTGTCTTCCATGAAATCGGGACCACGCCTTGGGAGTAAGAGTACCGGAAAAGACCCGTTAAAACCGATGCCAACTCCGGAGCACACGTCTTCAGCACAATGAGAGGGACTCCATCAGGCCCACTCGACTTGCTGACGTCCAGGGAGAAGAGTTCTTTGCGAACCGAGCGCTGTGTAAACCACACATCCGGCATGGAGCACTCACACCGCTGGATGGTCGGCGGTGTGTTCCCCTCGTCATCTAGAGTCGAGGTGGACGCGAAGAGAGAGCTCAACAGATCGGCTTTCTCCTTTGCGGCATGGGCCAGTGAGTCGTCCTCTTTGTGCAGAGATGGAAGAGATGGCTGACAGTGGTTCCCTTGGACAGCCTTGGCGAGAGACCAGAATGCACGATTCTTAGAATGATGGTTTTTAGAAGGATATCAGAAAACATAAAAGTTTTCGTTAGAAAAACTATGGTGGTCTAGAAGACGTTACGTCAGTACTTACATTGCCGGCCAAAGTTTAAGACCACACTTAACAACATAATTATCTATAAATTGTAACGAAATCCCATGAGATAAATAAAAGATATGTATACCTGCATATTCTATTTTTATTATCGAATATCTAAAGAAGTCATCATTTTATTTACTTTGAAGTTATTAGACAATAAACAAGTATTGTTTTCAAACACCGAGCAACGCTGCATTAGAGCCAGGTGGTAGAGTAGTAATAATATTTTTATGATGGGCAACTAATTGCTTTTCTTTTGTTTCCCATTGGTCAATAATTAGGATTATTTAGCTTCTAAAAACACGTGTTTCCGACTTATTATTACCTGAGTTTACATGGTTTTGTTCACAAACAATCTCAATTAGTCTAAACTTGTGGTTTCTACAGTGAAGACGACTTCTTCAAGACGTCTTAAAATGGGAAAAGCACGCGAAATTAGCAGTGAAGTGCGTTCTGCCATCGTTGTTTTACATAATGAAGGCAAAACCGAACGTGAGATTGCTTTACAATTGAAGTTATCGAATACTTGTGTTCATGGTACAATAACTCGATACAGACCCTCGCCCATCGATATTGGACTGAAGAATATTTTAAAATAGTTCTTTGGACCGATTAATCCAAGTTTGAGCTATTCAGTTCAAAACGAAGAATTTACGTTCAACGCAGTGACAAATAAAAGATGATGCTTAAGCATGGTGGTGGCTCAATTATAGTCTAGTGTTGCTTTTCTAGCCAAGGAACTGGCGATTTGATCAAAATTGACAAATTATGAAAAAGGAAGAGTACAAAAAAATTTTAGAAGAAAATGTCGTTCCTTCGGGGTTGCGATTAATTGGAGATGGATTCATTTTCCAACAGGACAATGATCCTAAGCATAGCTCAAAATTATGCAGAGGATATTTGGAAGAGAAAGAGGCACAAGGGGTGTGCAAACATGGTTTGGCCTCTTGAGAGCCCGGATCTCAATCCCATTGAACTTTTGTGGGAAGAGCTTGATAGGAATGTCCGTAATAGTGGTCCACCCTCGCGAGAAGAAATGTGGAATGATTTGTGCGAAAGTTGGAGCACAAGACACTATCAATAAATTGATTGCCCGTATGCCGAGACTTGTGAAAAAAGTCATAGAATGCAAAGGAGGATTTTTTGATGAAAAATCAGTTTAGCTAACTATAGCCTTTTTTAGCATGGACTGTTAATATTTATTTACGCTTTTCAAGTATATTGATTGTCAAAGTGTTTTATTGGATGATTTAACAGTTTAATTAAACATTTAATATTTTATTGGAGTTTTGTTTAATTTTCCTACTTTAATTAATGTGGTCTTAAACTTTTGGCCAGCAGTGTATGCAATTAAAATAGCATGTCCGTACTTAAAGGTTAATAAATTTTAAACGCTGTTGAGTTCAATAACAAAAATCAATAGGGATTCTCTTTAGAATATATGGAATCTTATTTAATACTATATATCTCAATCTATTGCCTACATTTCTATTAAGCGAGAAGTCTCACCGACACACAAACTAACGGACTGCAATCCATATATTTTTTCAATTACATTTTTTGTTATGTAATCTAAATTAAACATACATATACATATAATCACGCCTCTTTCCCATAGGGGTAGGCAGAGACCACTTCTTTCCACTTGCTACGATCCTTACACATACTTGTTTCGCTTCATCCACTTTCATTATTCCCTTCATACATGCTCTACGGTTTAGAGCGTACGGTTTGACCTGGCGTTTTTTCGAGACGTCCCTGATTTGGCCTTGAAACGTCTGCCTAGGTCTACCCCTTCCAACACTTTCATTCACACTCGCCTTATAGACTTTTTTCGTCAATCATTCTTCATTCATTCTCTTGATCAATTAGAAAATAAATTAATCTTATAATTCAATGTCTGTAGTTATTATAACGTTAATAATAATATGGTTTTGATGTCTAGCTATAAATATAAGAATGATTTTATGTAGTGAAATTGAAGTATGGCTACATATTGAGAGTAGAGCACTCCCTCACATTGTGAGGTGTGCAATTGGTCAGTACTAAGGGATAGGGCCTGCTTAAAATATTACTCCAACAATGAGTCCTGTTTCTTCAGACAATGAAGAAACACACAGTGTTATTTCATTAAATCAATTAACAGATGTATCTGAAGAGCAATATTTTAACTGAAATTATATTTTTACATATTTATCTAATAATCGGTATAAAATTATTACAAAACTAAGCAGAAGCAACATATCCATCTAATATAAATATAATACATACCATGAGCACACCAAAAGACCACCAGTCAGCAGCAAATGTATGACCTCTTCTATTCACAACCTCAGGTGCCATATATTCAACGGTACCACAAAAACTGTAAGCTTTATCACTACTTGGTGGAAGTTTTGACAAGCCAAAGTCTGTAAGGGCTATATGCCCATCAGCATCAAGCAAAATATTCTCTGGTTTGAGGTCCCTGTATATGATTCCTAACTTATGAACATGTTCTAAGGCTAGAGCAAGCTCGGCTAAATAAAACTTCACATCCTCTTCTGTAAACATAACCTGTTATAATATTAAATTGAGATAAAGTAAACATCTAAAACATACTAAATTAGAGTTATATTTAGACAAACCACAAAGTACAATTTTCCTATAAACTTTGGTAATAATAATTACCTCTTTGCTTAGACGTGAAAATAGGTCACCACCACGGAGGAAGTCTAGTATTAAATATAATTTGCCTGCAGTTTGAAAAGCATAATGTAATTTAACAATAAATGGATGCCCCATTTCTACCAAAATATTTCTCTCCATTTTTGTGCGCTCTCTGTCTCTTACTTTTAATGTAGCTTTTTTAAGTACCTATAAAAAAAATACATTACTTGTCAAATTAAGCTTTTAAGCTGGCTAATATTAAGTTCATTGGAATTGGTAAACTTAAGTATATCCAATATAATTTATAAATTAGATAAATGTCTGCAACTTTGGACCTTACACATACATGCCAAATAACATAATGATTAATACATGCTTTGGTATTTTAGACAAATTAAAAATAACACTTAAGTTTAGCCAACCACAGCTATATCTAGCTGTAGCTGACTAAACCTAAGTGTATCCACACTTCAGCATTTAGCCGTAACATATAATATACTAATTAATTATAAACATGCAAATATTAAAATTTTAATAGACATTAAGTGCAACTAAACATAACTTGTTAAAGGAAAATTACCTTCATAGCATATAGAGTTCCTGTATCAGCACCACTAACTTTTCGTACCAAAAACACTTTACCAAAGGAACCTTCACCTAACACTTTCAGCAACTCAAACTGTGAAGGATCAGCCTTTTCATGGCCTTCTTTAACAACATCTTGTAATTCTACCTCACACTCATAACTGATATCACCTGTTGAGTCAAGACTTTCTGTTGTAGAAGCTTGACGAGATTCAGCAGAGTTTTCTACAACCATTGGAAGACTGTTTGTTGGTTGACTGTTGGCACCACGCTAAATGTGAATAAATAAAATATGTTTAGTTAAATTATTTCAGTCCATAACAAAAAATGTCTGTTAACGTAATATTAACGTAGCATTATCACATAAGTGTTACACTGGATAAAAGAATTGCTGGATATAACTCTTTAATGCCTCCTGATATATGTTTATTATATGTGTATATTATAATATAATGTTATCGCATATTTGTTAAGTTTTACAACAAATAAGTACAGAAAAATAATTGCGAAAATACTGTATAATAACCATAAAATAATTATTTACTACCGTATTTTCACCAACATTTTGCATTCGCCAAGGATCGGAGGAATTTGCCAAAGGCATGTTTTCTGACTTCCAGATGCAAACATCCAACAAAAAATTAAGTTTTTGAAATCTGTAAAACAAGTACACTGCTATTACACCATATTTTTCACAATTCGTGTATAGTAAAATAAATAAAATGCGGATGGGAGGCACTAAAAATGACGACTTTTTGTCTTTTTGATATTGTCATTGTATGACATACGACCAGTGTGACCATCTTTAAAATACAGATCCTGCCATACTTTGGTTAAAAACCTGCCAAATCCTGCCAAAATCTGTAGTGAAAAATGCCTAAATACTGCCAATTTTATTAACCATTGTATTAAACTAAGAAAAGTCAAAATACACATATAAATGCTATATTTAAAAAAAAAAGATTAAACATATCTTTCGTTGGTTCGAATGCAATGCAATCTCCATGCTCACCAATGCCTTGCGTTTTTTTTTTTTATAGGAACGTACAAGATAGACGCTAAATGTCTGTTTCGTGTTTTTGTCTTAATTAAATTTATTTGAGAGAATATTCTTTCCCATGTTGAAACCACTCATATTTTTTTATGTTTACTAGTAGCGGCATGCTCCTTTAAGCACACACACGGGGTGCCAATTTGCAGTTACACAATCTGGATCATCTTTAGCATTGGAGATCCGTGATGAAAATAAAAGATCTTGCTTCCACCTCGCTCTATACGCCCTTTAATATTTTCGCTTCATCACCGCCACCTATGATTACAATCGTCCACGAAATAATATTAACAAGATGTTATCACCATGAAATCTAATTCTATACGAAACTAAAGTACATCTCTTTTATAACTGAGTGAAATATTAACCAACTGGTGTTAAGGTGAAAGCTCCAGGGTGGCCCGTGAAATTCAAATTTTATTGCGTTTTTTGGCATTTGCTGGTCAGGATCAGGTTGAATGTTTAATAAAATATGATTCGCGACCGTAACGAATATGTGTTTATAGACTTATTATCATTAAAATCACCAATACAACCCTCTAAGTTCATATAATCCCTTTGAATGAGTTTCTCTGGAAATAGCCATACATTAGAATTATACGAACATAGACGGTATTGATGATAATAATGATTATAATTCCGTAAATACATACTCGTTACGATCGCGAATCATATTTTGTTAGACATACAACCTCACACGGACCTGCAAATTAAGAAAAGAAAATTTAATTTTGCGTAAGAAAATTTGAATTTCGCGGGCTACCCTGGCGATTCCACCTTAAGATTATTAACTTTATATACAATTTTTTTTAAAGTTGTTTATTGAATATGATACAAACATAATACGAGAGATCGAGAAATACAGGGAAATCCCCAACATGCTAGCGAAGTATCTAGGGTTGCCATTTTCGTCATTTTAAATTGCCATAATGAAATATATTTTTAGTACCCCAATACTGCGAAATACTGCCAGGTTTTATAAAACGTCAACCGATCATGCCACAGGCTAAAATAAGAGGCCAATCCTGCCAAAATGGCAGGAACCTGCCACATATGGTCACACTGCATACGACATATGATACGTCATACAAGCGTGACAGAGTATATATGCCCACAGAATACTTTACTCCTAGCGGAGAATATATGCCTGTGAGCGCTGAGCGCTTGTACTACTCTTTGGTTTTTTTTATAGAATAAGGGTGACAAACGATGATCTACCTTTTTTTTTATAGGAGAGGGGGCAAACGAGCATGCGGCTCACCTGATGGTAAGTGACTACCGCCGCCCATGAATAACTGCAACACCAGGGAGAGAATTGCAGATGCGTTGCCGGCCATTTAAAAAAGAGTACGCTCTTTTCTTGAAGGTCCCTAAGTCGTATCGGTCCGGAAAAATCGCTGATGGTAATCGATTCCACAAGGAAGTCGTGCGAGGAAGAAAACATCTTCTAAATCGCACAGTGGTGGACCGCCAATCATCCAAATGGTGTGGATGGTATCGGGAGTTCTGCCGCGATGTGCGTTCGTGAAATTTGGCGGCTGGGATTAATCCGAACAATTCCTCAGAGCACTCCCCATGGTAGATGCGAAAGAAAATGCAAAGGGATGCAACATCTCTTCACAGTGCCAATGAATCGAGCCGATCGGAAAGGGCTCGGTCGTCGACGATTCGAGCCGCTCTGCGCTGGATGCGGTCAAGTGGAAGAAGCTGGCACTGGAGAGCCCCTGCCCAGAGAAGGTTAAAAGTATTCCATGTGAGGCCGAACCTGCGCCTTGTAAAGTTGCAGGCGGTGTGCCGGCATGAAATACTGTCCCGCTCTGCTGAGCACGTCAAGCTTTTTAGAGGCCAATTTGGCCTTCCCTTCCAAGTGACCACGAAACTGCACACTATTCGATATGTCGACGGCGAGGATTCCGATGCTATCTGAGGCAAGAAGGGGAGTGCCTTGAAACTGAGGAGATACGACAAAGGGGTTCTTTTTAGCGGTAAACGCGCAAACTTGTGTCTTTTGGGGATTGAAGTGGACTAGATTTAGTCGCCCCCAGTTCGAGACTTTGTTAAGCAAAGACTGGACTTCAGACACATGTTTGTCCCGGTACTCGGCGACGTTTTCCCGAGAAATATTGGCACGGCCGGTGTATAGCGCATCACCAGTGCTGTCATCCGCATAGCAATGAATGTTACCAGTTAGCAACATATCATTGATATGCAGAAGAAACAGCGTTGGTGATAGCACACAGCCTGATGGTAAGTGGTTGCTGTGCCCCATAGACATCTACATCTATCCCATAGACTTAGGATATACTGGCGTAATCCTAAGTCTATGATCTATCCTCGTTTGCAAATCAAAATGCAGATGCGTTGCCAGCCGTGAGGAATAAGATGGAATGCCTCTTTTCTAAAAAAAAGGTTTCCGGTTCTCTACGCTCACAATACGAAACACAGCAGTATTAAGCTGCTATTTTACGCTGGTATTATATGAGAGCGTGATCCTTCCCCGGTCAAATCGATCCATTCGTGCTACACTATACTATTAATTGCCACAAGGTGCAATAAGTTATGTTATGGCTCCGCCACACTGTGCTCGTCACGCTGCTTACCGCTCTACTCCTCGCGCTGCCGCGATGTTGTCCACCTTCGCACGGGTGATTTTTGTATCTCGACAACAGCGCTACCTAACTGGTCTAAATGTGAATCTAAAACTTCCAGGGTCCTGAAACAAACACAAAAAACTTCATCATAGTCGGTCGAGCTGTTTTTGAGTTTTAGCGAGACTATTCCACTCGTTTGCTGTACGCATATCGAAAAAGGAAGTAATTTGTTCGATTCAAATACGTAGAATATCGATAACAAAGGGGTAAAGACCCGCCGACAGCCTGATTGTCCGATGGTGGAAAGATGAGGGAGGCATTAAGGCATGTAATTCCAAGGCAAGTTCAGTCTCTGAAATGATGTCTCAAGGCTGACAAGATTAGATTCAACCAAATCAAGGTTACCATTAAGCCTCTTAGCACGTCTCCGAGTCTGCAAAATGAATGTTTTGCAGTACTAGCCTATATGTGACAATAGTATTCGACGCATTTTTTTCTTCATCATTCATCACTCAAGTAATATTATTATATCATTTACTGCCGCGCGAGCTACGACCGGCAACTCGAATCGAATTTTGTTACGATTACATATAGTAATAATGGTAACAATAAACGAGGGTGCCACTTGAGAACTTTACTTACTCATCGGTTGTCGGTTCTTCGAACTTTATGAGCGACCTATATACCATACAGTTAGCAGTAGAGGACCACATTTCAAATCCGTATGCCATCACTGGTAACACGATGATTGTACACTATTGTTTTCAGGTGTAGCTTACTATCAGGGGCTCCGGGTTCGATTTCCGAACGGAAACTATTCTCGGTACATTTGTTATTGTATAAATGATATTTTCATATTTTAAGAGCCATTTAGACAGTGGTAGAGCCACGCGGCAGTTTTTGCTGTCGCACGGATGGGCCGGCTCGAACCGGGGTGGTACCACGACCTCACAGAAAACCAGCGTGAAGTAGAGGTTTACCTCTGCGTTTCGCTTGGTGAGTGCAGGTGGCCGGAGGACCTTTTTACTGGAAATGAGGCATTCCATCTTAGTCCTCACGGGTGACAACGCATCTACATTTTGATTTGTAATAGAGGATAGATGTAGATGTCTATGGGCCGCAGCAACCACTTAGCATCAGGTGGACTGTGTGCTCGTTTGTCACCCTTATCCAATAAAAAAAAGCCATGTTTATTCAAAATAGTTATTCACGTTCTAAGCATATCATACTTGCCTGTCCTATACAACATTTTTTATTGTCATGTAACTTATTGGAATCATGATTATTATAATTTTTCAAATACACCTTAATATAAAATTTTCTAACATTAAAGTGGTCCTCACAACAGAATGCGGTAGTTTTTGGTCCAATAGAATCTACTCGATATAAAACGATCATCCACATTTTTCTGATATTGTGCCATAAAAAACAATTTATTTGGTGGTTTTTGGTCAGATTGTAATACTCCGGAACGATACAATACTTATATGACAATTTTAGTCAAAAATAATAATCACACCGGTTAGTAACCCGCTCGAAATTGCGATCGAAATAGGTTATAGTGCGCAGCGAGACTGATGACGTCACCACAAAGTAAATGATGTAACGTCACCGCGCTTTCTCCGGCCGGACGAATTTTGACGATTACACAATAATATAAAAGCACCAATCACAACAACGCTGAAGTTGCCACCAAAACTCATTAAACTAGATATTAATGAAATAGATATGAAGACTAAGAACCACTTGGTATTGGTAAAAGGTACCTATACATGAACCTTAGTTTTGACCATGAAGCAAATACAAAGAGGAGACGTTGTAATTCAATTTCACTATGAAACAATGCGTGACAATTTGCGGGGTGAGGGGATGCAAAGCCCCGCCCACTACACTATCTACATCTACCGATAAATAGTAAAACTACTCGAATCTTTCCATATCAATGTTGCAATGTAGTTTAGCTACCTTGACGGTAGATGGCGGCATATCCACAAAATGTTATAAACTAAAAAATAATATTTTAGCGATTAAAATTTCTTTATGTCTGAATGCAAAACAAATTTTAGCACCTTCGTATGATTATTTTATCATTACTGAACTCTACGTACCTTTATATTTTTAGTTCACAGGACACAAAGTGTCGCCATCTAGTGTGGAATATATTTAATTATATTTGAAAGCCGACGCAAAGAAATTTTTCTAGAACTATTTTAATAAATGAGGTGTAAAATTACTTACAAATTACAATAACATCAGAGCGTCTCTCTGAGTAGTTTTTACACAATAAAACACAACACTTCATCCTTTTCTTCTTAATACTACGAAAATACATCGATTTGCGATTTTTGCAACACATGAGCGCAGAGGACGAATGCTGACAGTATACTAACCAAAGCCACGCCCACTATGATGACGTCAGGACCTACTTAGAATCACAGTGCACAGTTGCTTATGCCGTCTCCCATTTGTATTAGCTTCATGGTTTTGACTTTGACATTTACAGCGCAGGATTAGATGTCTATATATAGGTATATGCGTCATTCTTACAGATCTCTATTAAATTACAATTAATCAATTTTTTGAAGTACTTAACATCAGGCGAAACTTTGATCAAACGTTGGACTATTATTGATAAATAGGCGTGTGGACCTCTGACCTCCATATGAATAAAGGTCAGTGATTATGGCTTATAACTTAAAAGGCACAACTATATGACTATACCCATAGACTTAGAATATACTGGCGTAGACTTAGAATATTCTAGTCTACCTTACAGGCTGATGACGATCACTGACATTATGTTAATTTCTAGACCATTGACATAACAAACTTCAAAAACTTTTACGAGGTACGTCGTTTAATGTTATAACATTGCTTGTACATATATATTTTAGAAATATTTTGTCTTGTTATTTTGATTGACTTGTTAAAGATTTGTAATGATGCAAAAGTATGGCACCGAAGAAAATAAAAGACCAGAAAAACTAGATGTTGATAATATCACTAATAAATTAATAGGAGATTTTGGAAGATGGCAACTACGCATAAGCATACTAATGTCTTTACTAAAATTATCTTTAGCTTGGTATCAGTTAAACATAATATTTATGGCTCCACCGCAAGAATTTTGGTGTGCCAAGCCCGAGTCATTTGCAAAATACACTGATGAGATGTGGCGAAAAATTTGTGTACCGGTAATATTTATTTATTACTTGCCTGTAACTTCATTGCATGGAATTGTATGTATTCCTATTAAGGCTGAAATAAAAATACAATATTATAGTCTTTGCTCATCTTTATTAGACAGGGCGTGTCACACACTACGCAGATACGATAAGATATCTTGTATGTGAGCACATATCTTCCAATATCGCTCTCTATGAAATTCAATGAACTAACACACATAGCGTAGATAATTTATATTTTATCGTATCTTTTTTTTAAGTATCTGTAAGCGCCGACATATATCGAAAGATAGTTACAATATTATCCGTTTATACAAATATATATATGGCATAGGATTTTACCTGCAGATAAATACAGAATGGCCGCTGAATCATCATCATCATCATTACAGCCCTTCACAAGTCCACTGCTGAACATAGGCCTCCCCCAAAGAATGCCACAAAGCACGGTCCTGAGCCACCTGCATCCATCGATTTCCTGCATGTCTTACCAGGTCGTCACTCCATCTCGTGGGGGGACGCCCTACACTTCACCTACCGGTACGAGGCTGCCACTCGAGAACCTTTCTTCCCCATCGGTTGTCGGTTCTTCGAGCTATATGGCCGGACCACTGCCACTTCAGCTTACTAATCCGTTGGGCAATGTCGGTCACTCTGGTTCTACTGCGGATATCCTCATTCCTAAGTTTATCACGCAGAGAAACTCCGAGCATAGCCCTCTCCATAGCTCGCTGAGCGACCTTGAGCTTCCTCATACGGCCAGCAGTGAAGGACCACGTCTCAGTTCCGTAAGTCATCACTGGCAACACGCACTGGTTGTACAATTTCGTTTTAAGGTTTTGAGGTATGTCTGACGAGAAGATGTGTCGTAGCTTCCCGAACGCTGCCCAGCCGAGTTGAATCCGTCGATTGACCTCTCGGTCGAAGTTGGACTTAGCTAGTTGGACAATTTGTCCCAGGTAAACATACTCGTCAACAACTTCGAGCTTAGTGCTCCCAACAACTACCGGCATAGGTGTGACATGGACATTAAACATGATCTTTGTTTTGTCCATGTTCATCTTAAGACCTATCCGTTGGGAAACACTATTGAGGTCATTGAGCATAGTGCTTAGGTCCTCCAGCGATTCTGCCATAAGGACTATATCGTCGGCAAATCGAAGGTGAGTGATGTACTCGCCATTGATGTTGACACCGTATCCTTTCCAGTCCAGAAGCTTGAAAACATCTTCCAATGCAGCGGTGAAGAGTTTCGGGGATATGACGTCACCCTGTCTTACACCTCTCTGCAATTGGATAGGTTTCGTACTCTGGTTCTGTACTCGGATAGCCATCGTAGCCCTACTGTACAAGCACTTCAACACTTCGATATACCGACAGTCAACTTGGCACCGCTGAAGGGACTGCAGCACCGCCCAAATTTCGACGGAATCAAAGGCTTTCTCATAGTCCACATACGTCAGACATAGTGGCAAATTGTACTCTTCGGACTTCTGTACAACTTGCCGAAGGGTACGTATGTGGTCTATGGTGCTAAAGCCCTTTCGGAAACCGGCTTGTTCGGGAGGCTGGAAGTCGTCAAGTATGCGCGCGAGACGATTCTTAATGACTCTCGAAAACAGCACGTAGACGCGGCTCAGAAGGGAAATCGGTATGTAGTTCTTCAAGAGAGCGTTGTCACCTTTCTTGAAGAACAAGACCACCGCACTTCTGCTCCACGCCTCCGGTGTAATGCCACCATGGAGGACGGAATTAAAGAGCTTCTGAAGGACTTCAAGTACCGGTCTTCCACCCGCTTTCAGAAGCTCCGCTGTAATTCCATCCTCGCCTGGGGCCTTACCGTTTTTAAGGTGCTGGAGAGCCATCCTAATCTCGCTCAGACTGACATCCGGGATATCTTCGGAATAGTGTCGGATGAGACTCGCTCTTGGATCGTTACTCACACTTGCGTGTGGCTCCAACGATGATGTGTACAACTGCCCATAGAACCTCTCAAACTCACTCAAAATCTCAGGTGTCCCGGAAACGATGCTGCCACATTCTGTCTTCAGCTTTGATAGTTGGCTCTTTCTGGCAGACAGATCTCTGGCAAAGACTTTGGAGCCTTGGTTCCGCTCGATCGCTTCTTCAATACGAGCTGTATTGAAGTTGCGTAAGTCCCGCCGCATGCATTTGGAGATCTGTCTGTTCAGATGCCTGTATGCTGTCAAGTCTGTTGAAGAATGTAGCTTCATCTCCCGTCTAACAGCCATGAGATTAAGAGTGTGATCGGAGAGTTTTTGTGTTCTTCTGCGGCGGGTCTTGCAGAACTTAGCTCCGACCGCATGGACAGTGAATAAATGCAGTTAAATTCGCCTCGGTCCATTTTAATCTTTATATGACGTTTTATCCAAATTCTTCGCCTTTTAGTAAATCAACTTTTGATGGCTAAAAAGTAAAGTGTTGTTTGTTAGCCTTCAGGAGTTAGAAATGCATCTTTATCTCGATTCCTTACGAAAAATGGAGAGCATCTTCAATGGATCGCAGCTTATTACTAGCATCAGCTTATTAATACCGTGCCGTGTAGTGGCGGTGTAAAATATCCACTACCCCATATCATCCCGTGGGTGTCGTAAAAGGAGACAGAGGGAAACAAATCAGGAGATGGGCAGCAGCGTCTTCCTAATAACGACTAAAAATAAAAAACTGCGGTTGCCAGCATGCTTGCCAAGCGTGACACCGTATGTTTTTTTATATCCATATCCATAGATACCTGACCTGCAGCCAACGTTAAACAAAGAAGGCTACAAATGTGTTGTCAGCTCTGAGAACCAAGCTGGAATGCCTCTCAGTCTGGAATTATACTTTCTTTCTTTCTTTTTTAAAAAACGTTACCCCCACACTAGGATTTTCTCCTGTGTCGTGGAGGCAGTTTACAAACATAAATTGCACAAGGACAAACATCCAGACCCGGAACAGTTACTCGTATTTGTAGGCCATACAAATACTTGTTCCGTGCGGGATTCGAACCCGCGGCCCCCAGCGCAACAACTTATTGCTAAGCCACTACGCTACGGAGCCGTCAACTACTGACTCTGTAGCTCTTCAAACCGGAAGGAGGAAGTTTAATTTGATTTAAGTGTAATACGTAATATGATTTTTGTTAATTGTAGTTATTAAAAAATAATCAATAATATATTAAAGTACATAAATATATTTTCTGTTGAACTGTATATATATATATATACTTATACTATACTTGGGGTGGAAAGGCGGCACAACAATCAAAAAGTAAATTCCGATTATCCACTCCGTCTAGGGTCGATAAATAAACACGCTTTTCCGAGTATCTATTTATCCTAGGTTGGATTTACTAAGGTGGGTTAACGGAATGACCCGCTTTATCTGAACATGAAGACAGAGTAATAGTGGAAATAGCTTGTTATTTGAGAAATAGGTAAATAATATAGAATTATTTGTAAGTCTCGGATATAAAGTATTGATAAATCATTTTTTTTATTTTCTATTGTCATACTCATAAGCGGTTCTAATTTTTAGCATGTCGTGGAATATCCATGTTTGATATTTGATCCTGATATTCTCGCCTTAGCTCCTAAAATGGACAGAACGCTAATACCACTTGTATTGTGTCGAAAATTTGTCTACGATGAATCGTTATTTACACGGACTATTACATCGGATTGGAATTTAGTTTGCGAAAGACGTTGGTATATATATGTAAGCACTTTTCAATTGTCCTTATGGATACATTTTCTTATATTTACTTAAAAGCTAAATTTTAAATATAGGTTCTAGCTGCAGATATTATGTCGCTTACATCAAGGTATTATAGTCTATACCAGTGATGGGCAAAGTACGGCCCGCGGGCCACCTCCGGCCCGCGAAAGCATTTAATCCAGCCCGCCGACGGTCCTTCGACATGAATAGTATATGTCCCGCGATAATTATATTTTGACGATCCAGAAGTATAAAGTAGATTCTACTTGGTAGAGTAATAGACGCATAGGTAAAGGAGCCAGCTAGACTAGGCGCGTAGTTCATGTGTTGCGGGTCGCGGGGCCCAAAACTAGATTTTTATAGAACACTGCCTAAAGCTGAATTCCCAAAGATGATTGCTCACGCCCAAAAAATTATGGCGATGTTTGCGTCGTGCGAATAGACTTTTCGACCGTGAAATTGCGGAAAAACTCAATCAGAAAACGACTTACTGTTGAACACCTTTTTGCACTGATGAAAGTTACTTCGTCACAGCTCGAACCTGCATTTGAAAATATTATGGCAAATCAAAAGCAATTTCATATGTCTCACACGCCTACCATAGCAGGGCCTTCGAATAAAAATTAAATTGTATTTTTTAACATTTGTGCAAGCGTGTAATGCTGTAATGTTTTATATGATTAAAAGTTTCAATACAAAATGCATTTTTCCTATAATTCTGGCCCTCCTATGAAATTTTTTAAATTTTCTGGCCCCCCATTAAGAAAGTTTGCACACCACTGGTCTATATACTCGTAAATAAAATGATAGAGGTTTGCAGTTGTGCGCGCATTACGGAAAAACTACTATCCAGTACATTTCAATTAGGTTTTCTTAGTTTTATTTCTAAGATACTTTGCCCTTATTTAAAAAAAAAAATATCGTCATTTAATGTAAAGTTATTAAAGTTTTAAGAAACAACTATTTTTATAAGTACTACATGTTCAGTGAACATTATATGCAACATTGTTTACCTATAAAGAAATTATGTAAACTATATTTTTGCTTGTGATTTATTTGATGTTTTTTCCTTCGCGTTATACGAAAACTTTGTTAATATATCAAGCAATGCGGACGAAGTCGCGGGTATCAGCTAGTCTATATCTCTACTAATATTATAAAGAGAGGGTGCGAATTTTGTGAGTTTGTATATATGTGGAGGGTAATCTCCAGAACCACTGCACCTATTTGAATATTTCTTTCACCATGTCAAAGGTACATTATTCCAGATGGACATAGGCTATATATTATGTTATTATGGCTAAGAGTTTTGATGATATTTGTCAACTAAGTTGGAAAAGTCGTGCCTCTTAAGAACTTCCACAGCGTGCGCTACATCAATGGTTAAAGTTGCACGAAAATAATGTGCAACTGAATTGTTCCTCTTAAAAAGTTTTAAAAGAAATCTCGAACAGCATATGTCTATCTCCTAAGGATTACTCACAATCTATACCAATATTATAAAGACAGATTGCGAATTTCAAGAGTTTGTATATATGTGGAGGGTAATCTCCTATCACTGCACCTATTTGAAAATTTCTTTCAACATTTGGGAGGTACATTATTCCAGATGGACATAGGCTATATATTATGTGTATATATTTATATTATGGCTAAAAATTATGATGATATTTGTCAAATAAGTCAGAAAAACTCATGCCTCTTGTGAGTTTTAACAGCGTGCGCTGACTTTAGCTATTGAGGTAAAGTTGCATGAAAATAATGTATAGGTGAATTGTTCCTCTTGAAAAGTTCTAAAAAAAAATCCGTCTTTTTCACAAACGAATTTTTAGTTATTTTTGTTTTATTACGCTAAAGAAGTATAACTTCTTACGCGCGTACATAAATACACACACGTTTTTTTTTTCAAATGCAAGGAATTATTATTTTCAAACGGGACAATTTTTTATACTTTTTGATGAAATACAAATAAATAAGGTTCTATGACTTTTTATGATAAAGTTAATATTTTCTGAGTTATGAATTTTCAAATGTTTGAAAAATCTCGAATTCGGAAACTGGCTCTTGCGTTGGTTTATTTCGGTATAGCCGCGACTTGTCTTAGTGGTGGAAAACTGCCCATTCCATATTTAAACTGCCTTTGAGTGTCTCCATCCAGAAAGAATCCGTATGTTCCATACGAAAATACGGGTCAATAGGCAAACTTTTTCAATATATCTGTCTCATAATGTGGGACGAATGTACGATGAGCCACCGCTCACATATAGAAGCTGTAGACAGAACTCTTAAAGACCTTAAGAAGTTCAGATATTTGGGATATTATGGCAGATGTCACCTTCGTGTTTGCCGGTGACTTTCGTCAAACTCTTCATGTTATGCCTAGAGGAACACGTGCAGATATACTTAAAGCATGCTTAAAGGCACCTCCTTTATGGAGCTCTATACAATCAATCACCTTTAGAACAAACATGAGAGCCCATTTAGGAGAGGGTAATACTCATTTCGCGAGTTTTTTATTATAAGTAGGTGATTGTAAAACACATGAAGAAGATGGTCTTATTAAAACAGATAAGTTAGAAAAGTCTGTCTCAAGTCTTAATGATTTGATCCTAAACGGTTACCCAACAATTGAGAATATTTCTCAAAATTGTGTATTGTGTAATCTACACATGGAGAGAGAGCAATATTGTTTCGCCAAGAAATTCTGTTGATCATATCAATGCACAAATATTAGAAAGAATACCAGGTAATCCAAAATTATATACATACCCGTTCATACCGTAAATATTAGACACAGAGGAAATTTACACAGGAATTCCTTAACTCCCTTAATCCTTCAGGACTTTCCCCGCATACTGAAGTAACTGACTTCCTTTAAGCCAAAGGGGTTATGCGCATGCTATGAAGATATGAACAACCATTTTTTAAATTGTTAATGTATCAGTCTGTCTGTTTTCTGTCTATCTATGTGTCTGTTTGTCTGTTCGGATTGGCCGAACCGATTACGCCTTGATAATGAGTGATCTAGGCAATATTTTTTCGAAAAAAAAAAACGTAAAACTGATAAAACATATTAGTACATAGATGTACCTTCTAGGGACCCTCATTCTATTCGTCAAGGTATGGTTATAATATACAAATTGTTTCTCCTTTTTCATAGATCGTCAAGAACTGACAAATAAGCATACACACAACATGATCGTAAAAGATCGTTGTTAACTCTAAAACCTCAGATGGCATGCCTCGTTACCAGTAAAAATACTCTTCGGTTCTTGTCACTTAGCGTTCGAAACTTGGTCTTCCCGCCACAATTTTCGTAGTGATCGTGGCTCTTGCAACCCATTACTTGGAACATTTGAATAAACACTTTGATCCATGAACATTGATAATATGAAATTACAAAATAAATATTACTTTTCAAAATTACAGTTGACCCAATGTGTAATGAATTTCGGAATAGTTGCCGGGGGTATAATATTTGGAGTAGCAGCAGATAAATATGGTCGCAAGAAGCCTTTAATGATAACAATATTAATTCAAACATCAGCAAGTTATTTTGCATGTGTTGTACCCTGGTTTTGGTTATTCCTTGTGAATTGGTTCATTTTGGCTTTAGGATGTGGTGGTATTTCGATTATATCTTTTGTTTTGTGTATAGAGGTACAAATATTCTTTATTAACTTAATATACAGTCGACAATGGAAACATGTAATTTTTAACCAACTTCTAAATTTATAGATAGTTGGCGGAAAGTGGCGTACAATTATCCCAGTATTGTATCAACTGCCATTTGGATTGGGTAACGCTGTATTGGCGTTCTTAGCATATTGGCTTAGAGACTGGAGACAATTAGAATTCGCTCTGGCCACCATATCCTCAGTATACCTAATGTATTGGTTTTGGATACCGGAATCACCTAGATGGTTGTTAGTCACTGGAAAAATTGAAAAGGCAAAGGGTAAGTATTTAAAATGCGTCAAAGATATAACATAACTAATTTCCAAAGGAGGACGTCTGATAACTTCAGCCGCTAATTCACCTCCTATTTGTCTGAACAGATATGAACTCTTTTTTGAAATTAGTTGCTTCGCAGTCACCTCCGAAGTAACAAGTAACGTAGGTAACTTAAAATGTCGGCTGGCGCAATGACAACGTGCACAAATCGTAATAAAACTGTGATTAATAACAATTTTGGTGTAACTTATCACAGACTCTCAATTCTGGGAGGGAAGACTCTCGAGTCTCGGCTTAAGATTTCAAAGGAGTTGTACATATATGAATAAATAACCTGAGACAAAATCATAAAAAGAAGCAACTTTTTAAAAATTTATTTTTGTGTAATTTATTTACTTATTTCATTTATTCATTAAATCAATTTTAAGCGTCAGTAGCCTAATGGCAGGGCGCGGACCGCGAACTCGAAAGGTCGTGGGTTCGAATCTGCCATTCGACTACTGTCGTGAACCACTTTATAACACAAGCATTTTAAGCTTAACGGAAGTGGTTGAAGGTAATGTTAGTAATGTTTAATAGCATTATTAGTATTTTTTTTTAAATCCTTTACAAATCCACAGCTGAACATAGGCCTCCCCCAAGGAATGCCACAAAGAACGGTCCTGAGCCTTCTGCATCCAAAGAGTTCCTGCATCTATTACAAGGTCGTCACTCCATCTATCATTATCTCCATCACTTCATCGTCTTACATTTCGCCTACCGGTACGAGACTGCCACTCGAGAACTTTTCTTTCCCATCGGTTGTCGGTTCTTCTTCAGCTTACTAATCCGTTGGGTTATGTCGCGGTACCTCTGGTTCAAATGCGGATACCCTCATTTTTAAGTTTATTACGCAAAGAAACCCCAAGCGTAACTCTCCCCATAGCTCGCTGAGCGACCTTGAGCAGCGACCTTCCAGCAGTGAAGGACCACATCTGAGATACATAAGTCATCACTGGCAATACGCACTAGCTGTACAATTTTGTGCATAGTGCTTAGGTCCTTCAGCGATTCTGCCATAAGAACTAAATCGTAGGTAAATCGAAGTTGAATTACGCACTCGCCATTGATATTAATACCGTATCCTTTCCAGTCCAGTAGCTTGAAAATGTCGTGCAATGCAGCTGTAAAGAGTTTCGAGGATATAACGTCACCCTGTCTTACACCTTTCTGCAATTGAATGGGTTTCAATTCAAGACAGTCAATTTGGCACCGCTGAAGGGACTGCAGCACCGCCCAAATTTTGACGGAATTAAAGACTTTCTCATAGTCCACATATGCAAGGCAAAGTAGAAGATTGTACTCTTCGGTCTTCTGTACAATTTGCCGAAGGGTATGTATGTGGTCTATGGTACTAAAGCCCTTTCGGAAACCAGCTTGTTCGAGAGGGTCGTCAAGTCTGCGTGCGAGACGATTCTTGAAACTGGACTCTTGAAAATAGCACGTAGACGCGATTCAGAAGGGAAATCGGTCTGTAGTTTTTCAAGAGAGCGTTATCACCTTGAAGAACAAGACCACCCCACCGCACTTCGGCTCCACGCCTCCGGAGTAGTACCATGGGCGACGGAATTAAAGAGCTTCTGAAGGACTTCAAGTACCGGTTTTCCACCCGCTTTCAGAAGCTCCGCTGTAATTCCATCCTCGCCTGGGGCCTTGCCGCGTTTAAGGTGCTAGAGAGCCATTCTAATCTCGCTCAGACTGACGTCCGGGATATCATCGGAATAGTGTCGAATAACACTTCGTTACTCACACTTGCGTGTGGCTGCAACGACGTTGTGTACAGCTATCCATAGAACCTCTCAATCTTACTCAAAATCTCAGGTCTCCCGGAAACGATGCAGCCACACTCGGTCTTCAGCTTCGACAATTAGCTCTTTCTGGCAGACAGATCTCTAGCTAAATCTAAAGACTTTGGAGCCATGGTTCCGCTCGATCGCTTCTTCAATACGAGCTGTATTGAAGTTGCGTAAGGTCCGCCGAATGCATTTGGAGATATGTCTATTCAGTTGCCTATACGCTGTCAAATCTGCTTAAAACTGCAGCTTCATTTCCCGTCTAACAGCTATGAGATTAAGAGTGTGATCGGAGAGTTTTTGTGTTCTTCTGCGGCGGTTCTTACATAACTTTCGACCACATGGACAGTTTCCTCGAGCTTGTCATTCATATCGTCCACTGCATTGCAATCTTCTAGGCACTGAAAACGGTTTTGATCTATCTTATCAATATTTCTATTTTATCAAAATCTTAAAATTTTTCGGATAAAATTTAGTCTAGACCACTCCTGGCATTATTCTCTATTAGTTCGTGAAGTTTTCTACAATCGGTTCAGCCATGCCGAAGATTAGTTCAGACAGATAGACAAATGAAAATTTTAAAAATGTTTAGTTTCAATGGCATGTAAATATTTTATACAAAAATATTAACAAACAAAATCAACAATAATTATGAAGAAAACTCTCAGAACGCGACGTAGCTCACAAATTAGCAAACCCGGATAGATTTTTTTGTACTTTATGGGAATTTGTTATTGTCATTGATTCTGTTGAGCGCCACCATTACTGCCTGGTACATGGCAGCACTAGTTGCCACTAGCGCCCTCTAGTACCGAATAGCAGAACTAGGAGAGTCAAGATCCTTCTAGAATTTAACTATTGACACCTAGTCAGTCGGGACCGGTATATACTCGAACATTCTAGATGTTTCTACAGTAGAAGGTTCCGGAAATTATCTGAGGCCGTATATACCGGTATAGACCGCAACCCGGTCAGTGTTGAATTGGCGATATATGCAAATACTTCGAAGCGGTACAACTGCGAATTAAAGTGATCAGTAGTACAATTGTGTTTTGTTATTAGTGTGGTTCTAAGTTGTAATTAGTGTTGTGTAAATAAAGTGTCAGTTTTGGTAATTCACTCGCCAGCTTTTTACTGTCTCGAACCCCAAGCTTGTAACAATTCCAATTACAAATTGGACTGAAGTTATAGAACTTACCAAGAAACGCACATATCGCAACGTATTTTTTGCAGTCTTTACCGGCTCGTGTTATTTATAGGATAGCGACAGTGTGCGAACGAGAGGTGACGCCATTTTCTTTAACCACACGGGTAGTAATGAGGATACCTCAGTATAACTACAGCTTAGACCTTATACTTGGGAAACAAAATACACTTGTGTAGAGCAACATTGGGGGCCTTCCGGCCCAAGGGGCGGGCCGACCTTATGCTAGCGCCCTTCACTGTGTCTGATGTCTGCTATACATGCAGTTGGCTCGAGCGTGTTTTATAGTACTTATTTAACTAATTTTAAGTGCCTTTTACGAAAAATATGAGTTACTAAGTAAAATTGAATTCAAATGACGGCCATGCTTATATTTCCCTCATTTTTTTTTTGATAAAATTGTTTATCCGAATGCGAATACACTACATTATTAAATTTAACAATCGAAAACTGAAAACATCTATAGAAATAAAGTGTCACTAAAATATTTAGTAGTGCAACACTTGTAAATGTGTTTTTCTTATAATAAAATAATAACAAATGATCAAATGATCTTGTTCAATAAATGTTTTTAACTTATAAGTAATGTTAATAAATGATAATGAGTATTATAATATCCAAAATTATTTTATTTCCATTTTCGCGACAACCCCTAGCATACACGTTGGCCGCGTAAATACCTACGCGGGCGGCGGCATCGCCAGATATGTCGATGAATCCAGGTGCTTCAGGACCGTGTTTTGTGGTGTTCTTTCAGAGAGGCCTATTTTTAGCTGTGGGCTAGTGAGGGACTAAAATGTTGATGATCATGATGAAAAAAATCCCTTAAGCATGCAGATCTTTTATTTATACGAAGTAGTTGGTAGAATCAAATACGTAGAATCTATTAAAGAAATATTGTGATAATATTCTGTTAACAGAAATATTGGAAGAAGCTGCGAAAGAAAACAATATGAATGTTGATGTGCATGGCGCCTTATCTTTATTGATTAGAAAGGAAGAAAGCAAGAAAAGTCTAGGGTTTATGTCATTGCTAAGGTCCCGCAGTATGAGGCGTAAGACTTTATTACTGTCTGTTGACTGGTAATGGTTTTTTTTTTGTATTACTTTTATTCATTCTGGATGTCATTACCAAAATTTAAATAATTTTCTTCTGTTATTATATTTGCTAAGCTAATTTCGACCACGTCGATAATAATTATTGAAAGCTTTTTAAATATTATTCGAGTTTTAAATAATAATGGAAGCTGTTAACTGTACACATAGATATTAAAGTGTCACAAGTAGGTATACGCCGCAAGCACAGATGCAGAGATTTATGAAAAAATGTGTCCGATATTATATATATATATATATATATATATATATAATATAATATATATAGCTTGGGGTTCGAGACAGTTAAAAACTGCCGATTGAATTACCAAAATTGACACTTTTATTACGGAACATTAATTACAACTTAAAAACACACAAATAATAAAACACAATTGTATTACTGATCACTTTCGTTCGAAGTTATATCACTTCGAAGTATTCGCTTATATCGCCAATTCAATACTGCCTCAGTCGTGGTCTACACCGGCCTCAGATAGTTACCAGAACCTTCTACTGTAGCGACATCTAGAATGTTCGAGTAAATATCGGTCCCGAAATTTCTAGAAGGATCTGGACTCTCCTAGTTCTGCTACTCGACACTAGAGGGCGCTGGTGGTAACTAGTGTTGCCATGTACTAGACATTAATAGTGGCGCGCAACAATATATATATATATATATATATATATATATATATATATATATATATATATATATATATATGTGTGTGTGTGTGTGTGTGTGTGTGTGTGTGTGTGTGTGTGTGTGTGTGTGTGTCATGGACTAAGTGATTAATCAGGACACTATTTATAATACCTGGGCTATATGAATAATGACAAGTGAAATCGGAGTTCGTAATTAATACTGATTAAGGCTCAGTGCCTGATTTAGAGTTTTGACAGTCCTAGGCTAACTATGAATATGCGCCCCTCTCCCGCCACCGGCATGTTCTGTCTGTGCCTGCCCAGCCCACGAATATATTTACTAGAATTTTATATTTTATTTCGTAATACTATTATTTATTCTGTGGTTTTAGTAGCTTTCCACTCCGCGGATTCGCCCACTGATTCTGATAGTAACTGTCGACCATCGCGCATGAACAATTGCTGATCAATTGCAAATCATAAAGAATTCGGTTGTCGACGATTCGAGCCACTCTTCGCTGGATGCGGTCAAGTGGAAGGAGCTGGCACTGGGGTGTCCCAGTCCAGAGACCGGAACAGGATTCCATGTGAGGTCGAACCTGCGCCTTGTAAAGTTACAGACGGTGTGTTGGCATGAAATACTGTCCGATTCTGCTGAGCACGCCAAGCTTTTTAAAGGCCAATTTAGCCTTCCCTTGCAAGTGACCTGTACGTCATTCGATATGTCGATGCCGAGAATGCCGATGCTAGCTGAAGCAGCATGGCGTGCCCTGAAATTGATGAGATACGACAAAAGGGTTCTTTTTAGCAGTAAACGCGCAAACCTGTGTCTTCTGAAGTTTAAACTGGACTAGAGACGTCCCCAATCCGAGACTTTCTTTATTAAAGACTCGACTTCAGATCCACGTTTGTTCCGATACTTGATGACGTGTTTCCGAGAAATATTAGCACGGCCGGTGTAAAAAGCAACACCAATTTTTGTTGCTATTACAACCAGTAATAGCAACAAATAATTGATAGATAGAAGAAACAGGGTAGGTGATAGCACGCAGCCTTGTGGAGCACTAGCATTAATAGGCTCGTAGTCGGAGTATGCAGCGTCTACTACAACCTTGATGCTCTGATCAGATGAAAACTGATGATCCTGTGGCCCAATGTTACGAAGTACTACCTTATATATAGAATAGCTCTGTATAAACACACGGAGCGTTAGCTGCTCCCCAGGTTGAACACCTTGCCCGTAGGGATATCTCCCCTTTTCCTTCCACGGCCAAATTGGAGACCAACCGACGTGATGTGAACACATAACAACCTTTGGAAACCTCAACTACAAGCTTTCGTCATCGTCTTCTAGTACCCCAACTATTCGCTCCCGAGCAGATAGACAATATCTGCTCTTCTTGCATTCTTCAGGTCCTGCAAGCCATCTAGCTTTACAAGGTTAATCGCAGCACTGGAATATCACTTCCTGTTCCTTTAAGCTACCCTATGCGCTACAGTGTTTGGCACGGTTATGAGCCTGACTGCTCGCCTCTGCTTCACGGCACTGTTACAGATTTCTTGCCTTCGTCTCGTCTCACCGCAGACTACAAGGCGATCCATGTTACTTGCACATTCGTCGACAACTAGACTGCACCATCGACCTCCGGTCTGAGCAGGAAGGGTGATGTGGCGGCGCTATCGTCACACCACAAGCGAAAAGCACCAAAGTCTAAATCACGCTATCTGTCTTTCATAAGTTCAATATTAGGGAGGGAGTAGGAGTACCGGAAAAGGTGCGTTAGAATCGGTGCTCTCCGGAGCACCCGTCTTCAGTACAATAGGAGGGACTACATCCGACCAACTCAACTTGCTGAAATCCAGGGAGAATAGTGCTTTGCACTGAGCGCTGTGTAAACCACACATCCAAAATGTCAATCACACCGCGGGATGTTGGGCGGTGTATAACCCTCGTCAACGGGAGTCGAGAAAAGAGAAACTAAAAGTCGACTTTTTCCTTTGCGGCACGAACAAGTGAGTCGTTCTCCCTGTGCAGATACGGAACAGATGGCTGAAAGATGTTCTCTTTGACAGGATAAGCAAAACACCTTAATAAAATTAGAGGTAGAGAAGACAGCTTGAGCAGTTTAAGAGCAGTCAAAGAAAGACGAAAGGTATCAAATAATTCAGTCTTACTTTTAGAAAATATTTATTTGTTTTGTACCAGAAGAAAGAGCAACAAGTAAAATACTTGCGGCACTTACTCCATTATTTATCGAGATTCGAACATAGTTTATCAAATTTTATTCAGTACTTAAGTGGTGCTTGCAAATGCAAAAAACTCAGCGGCCCGTCGAACCTTGCGCCCTAGTCTCCAGCCTGGTTAGTCTGTGGGTAAATCAGGCCCTGCTAAGACTTCATTATTTATCACGTGGTTTGATTTTATCATTATAAATATTGCCACGTAACTGTTGCACAATCTAATATAACACACGCACGCACGCACGCACGCAGGCACCATAATTTCACAACTTTCCACTATCTGATTGTTATTTGCTTATTTTCACAGTTTCCACATGATTCAAATTCACTTTGTGTTTAGTAATTACAATGTTAGGTTTCTTTAAAACGTGACGATGAAACATTACTTAGGAGCATAATCTTAGTGTTTGTCACGTAAGGAGAGAGAATTCATTTTTTGATCACGTTTAGTGATCGCGTAACTCACCCGTAGACCGTAGAACGTTAGACAACAATACTTATTTAAAACCAAAATCGAATCATCCTTTTACTTTTTCGGATGGAATACAAAAAAAGAGTGTCTCTGTCCTTGAAATTGATCAAATATTTTTTAAATTTATGGGTAGCATAGAAATCAAATAGGTAGAAATATTAACAAGCACATTAGTTGAAACAGTAATTAAAAGAAATAGGTATCACTGTGTTGAAAAAGTTTACTTTTTGTCACTTCCAAAACTTTTAAGGCGAACTTAACGACACCCTAGAGGAAAAGAGGGTGTGGTCTTTTCTCGATATCTCCATACAAACGCTCTCGCCAGTTTTCTTTCTGGTTTATAACCTTATAGCAATGAGTTTTCACAGTAAAATAAATATCAACATCTTCTATGTCCCTATGTTTTCCTGTTTGATGATACATTATCTTTATAAGCACTAGAACAAAGTTACCTATTTAGACCGCTGTAAACAGAGGCCTAGTGTTCAAATTTGATAATTAATACTGAAAAAATGAAACACTGTGTCTCTATACACAGTGTATATCCTTCTCATTTAGTCTATGAAATGTCTTTTAAATTGGTCCAATATTGGAGGAGGAAATGGTAGAGCGCCAAACCTCGAATTATGTCTTTTTACTTAGGCAATTCAGTCGGATCTGCAGTTGTCCAGGGTTCGGATAACGATATGTTTTTCGAAACGGTTTCGCCTTAAATACCTAAAAACTTATTTGTTTCGTTTATGTTCGAACGTAATCATAATAAAAACGTTTATGAAGAGAACGAAATTTTAAAATCTTCTTGTTCCATAAAACGTTTTTAACCATTTTAAACTGTTTTTCCCATTTTTTGGCCCTGCAATACGAAACAAAAATAATACACATTCAGTCCAGTTGTAATTTTACGGCCGCGCAGATAGGGTATGGATTATTATAAATTTGTTTTATATGTGATGTAATAAACTAAGGTAATAAAGTACTGTGACTAGGGTTGCCAGATCGGAAGACCAAAATATCTGGACAAAATTTGAAAATGTCGGGATTTTGGGATTGTTGTCGGGAGAAATAAATGTTAAAACATAACATAATAAATACTCACGCCTGTCACCCAGAGGGGTAGACAGAGACTATGGACTTCCATTTGGCACGATCCTGACACACCTCTCTCACATCCATATACCTACACATACACGCTCGTCGGTTAAAGGTACTCTTGATTTGGCCCATTTTCAATATATCGCCAATTTGGTCGATAAACTTTCGCCTAAGGCGACACTTCCCGACTCTACCGTTCACCTCTGCAACATAAATTTGCTTCGTGACTCTTTCCTCATTCATTCTTTCTACGTGACCAAACCACCGAAGCATTCCTTTCTTAATCCTGGTCACAACATCATCTTGCAAACCACACTCTTCTCTTATTAAACAATTTCTCACTCTGTCATTCAGATTCATCCATAACATACTCCTTAATGACCGCATTTCTACAGCATTTATTCTACTCTCGTGCTTCTTCTGCCCCACCCAACTTTCCCTACCATACATTAAGGTAGGTACTAAAACAGCATTGTGAATTGCCATACGTGCCTTTTTGGACACATTCTGACTTTTCACAATAAGGTGTAGAGCCCCATTCACTCTACTTCCTGCATTCACTCGTCGTTCTATATCCTCATCATATCTACCATCCCTGCTAAACACACATCTCAAATACACAAACTCATCTACTTGCTCTACCAACTCCCCTTCTATTCTTATTTCACATATCGTTTTACTTTCTTCTCTTTCAAAAACCATAACTTTCGTCTTACTTGCGTTTACTTTCATTCCCTTTTCTTTAAATTTCCTGTTCGTTAATGTAACCATCATTTGCAACTCGGCTGCCGACGTAAGTATGACTTAATCATCGGCGTACAAAAGGCATTTGACGGTTAACTCACCCATTCTTAACCCGCATTCTTCTACTGTCAAATTTTCCAAACAATTGTCCATAAATAGGTTGAACAGCCACGGGGAAGCCACACAGCCCTGTCTGACACATTTATGGATGCCAAACCAGTGCGAGTAGGCCCCGTTGATCCTGACACAAGCACTAGAGTCCCTATATAGAGACTTCAATGCCTGTATCAAGCCAGCGCTCAACCCAAATGAGTTCAGTGTTTGCCATAACACATCCCTGTCCACTCTGTCACAAGCCTTCTCTAAGTCCATGAACGCACAAAAAACTTTTTGGTTTTTGGCCAAAAACTTCTCCGAGATCATGCGCATGGAAAAGACCTGATCCGTACATCCCATTCCCTTTCTAAATCCCGCTTGCACATCCCAAATTTTTCCATCAGTTTCTTCCATAACTCTTTCAATTAGTACCTTAGCATACAGTTTTCCCACAATGCTAAGAAGGCTGATACCACGGCAGTCCTGCTGTGATCCTTTGTATATTGGAACTATCACCTTGCACCAGTCTCCCTGTACCCGCTTAAGTTCTCAACATAAATTAAACAAGGTGTACATCAGGTCTGCCACCACTCCTTCTCCAGCCCTTAGCATTTCGAGAGATACTCTATCATAACCGGCTACCTTACCTGCTTTCATACTTTTCATTGCTTTCATTATTTCATCTATACTTATATCTCTATCTATTTCCTCTTCTTTCAGAATTTCTATTTCATTTAATTCAAACGTCTCATCACTCATAAACACGCTTTCAAAGTATTCCTTCCATCTCCTTAAACTCAAAACTTCGTCATTCAGAATACAGCCATTCTGGTCTCGTATAGCATTCATTCTAGGCTGTTTTGAATGTCCCCTGGTAGTTCTTACGAGTTTCCAGAACATTTTAATGTTTGCCTGGAAGTTATCCGATATTCTTCTATCATTCTTATTCGTTCTTTCTTGCTTTTTCCTTTCAACTACTTCTTTTACTCTCTTATTTAGGTGTCTAAAGACTGCCTTTTTCCTTTCAATATCGTCATTCATACTGCTAGAATTACTAGCCTTTGTTGCTAGTAAATCTAGTCATGCTTTCTTCTTTGCTTCAACTTCCATCCGTACCTCATCATCCCACCATAACGTGTTATTTTTCCTTTCATTCGTTCTCTTACTTACACCACATACTTCGGTAGCTGCATCCACTAAACCTTTCTTGACATTATACCACACAGTCTCCAAGTCTAAATCATTCATACACAATTCAGCCATACCACTTATATTTTCTCTCAATCTACATTTGAACTTCTCTTTCACACCTTCATCTTTTAACCTCTCTGTTCTTATACGCTGTAACGCAGTTGGTAGTCACAGATGTCCGATGCCTCCAACGTCTGAAAAGACCATTAATTCAGCATAAGATCAAGTAATGATCCGTCCCTACGTTAGAGCCCCGGTAAATCCTTGTATCTACCACCGCGCTCCTCATTCTTTCATCTACAATTATGAAATCTATCATACTTCTACCATCACCTCTTTCCCATGTATACGTGTGAATCTTCTTATGACGAAAGAAAGTGTTCATCACAAAAAGATTATTTTCCACGCATACGGCGAGAAGGCTTTCACCATTCTCATTTATACTTTCATCACCAAACGTTCCCAATATCCTTTCATAACCAAGCCTCCTCACCTCAACCCTTCTATTCAAATCGCCTAATATCACAATATTTTCATTAACCTTGCATTTCATTAGCACCATCCTTACCAACTCCCAAAACTGCTCTCGGATATATGTGGGCTTATATATGTCTGTGTAGACCCATAAAACATACATCTTCTATAAGCCCACTTTAATTCGTATCCATAGCAGTCTCGGGCTCACACATCGGGTCACATTCATACTCTTTCACACAATGACCCATTCTCTCTGAAAGGATGATACCGACTCCCTGGCATGCCCGCTTGGTCTCGTCTACACCAGACCAGTACGCGGTATTCATGCCATGTGTAGTGGCATCCTTTCCCTTCCGTTTCGTCTCATTTACACATAACACGTCTATTTCCTCTATCATGCATCATATCGCATACTTTATCCATCTTATCATTCATTCCTCCACATACATTCAATGTAGCCAGACGGGCTTCCGCAATCCACTGTTAATGAAATGTTGTAAATGTTAAAAATAAAAATGTAAAACAAAAATATTATTTTTTAAAGTAATGGGCTACAATACAAATATACTTAACATTGTTGACAGATAATTAATGTAACTACACTTAATTTTGAGGTTGCCACAGGTATTTGGCATTAGACTTTACTGAATCCACCAATTTGGATCCTTTAGTGGTATTCAGAAAAGATTTAAAATTTAAGCAATTTTCCTCAAAGTTCATTCTAATTAGTAACCCAGCTTTTATTAAATTAATAGCCATACGATTTCTCTCTTTAGTATATAAATTATTTAGTAAACTTAATACCCTTTCACAATAAGCATTGCTTACAAGAATTGACAACATAATAGACATAATTTTTTTAAATTTCATAATTTCGTTTTGGTTACATTTCAATTTTAAATTATTAACATTTCGAGGATCTGTTTGTCTGGAGATTTTGAGTTTTGTCGGGAGTCGGGAGATCATTTAAAATGTCGGGAGAATCCAGACGAATCCCGACCATCTGGCAACCCTAACTGTGACTGATATACATTATTCTGTGTGTACGTTACAATTTAGTAGTGTGTGATAGAGAAAGCATGATTGATTCATCCACAACAAGTCACAAAAATCAATGGATCCGCTAACACCAAGCGCGTCGGAATTCGGAATCACTGCTGTAATGAAATTAATGCAAACTAAATAAACATGTTTAAAATTGTCGCGGCAGTGCCAACACTTTAGCTTCCAGCGGAATAAACCGTTTTTTTACGTTTTCACATTACGTTCTCGTTTCGTTTTTGTTCCGAACAAAATGTTGTACAAGGAACCGTTCCAAACCCTGAGTTGTCCTTATCGGACGGCGGGTGCTCGCAGAGCGAGAGCGATAGCTTCTTTAAATACCTAATTTTCAAAAGTCTCTCAGCCCGCATTTAAATTCCATCAAAGCGTTTGGGCCATAGAAATTATACATAGGTATATACTTAGCATACATACTCGATAAACATTACCCTTCTTCTGAGCCAGTCGGCTAAAAGTTAATATTTTAAGTGTTAGAATGTTTATTTCATTAAAATAGTTTTTATTAATTAATTACAGGTTCCTTACGGGTCTATCATTTTTTACGTTTTCGCAATATCTGGGTTTTATTAGCGGGAACATTTTTTTAACAGTTGCGATGAGTGGGATCATTTCAATTCCTGGAGGAGTTATTTGCTTATTTATAATATCAAAAGCAGGAAGAAAAAGGACATTGGGAGTGTTTCAGTTAATAACGACAAGTTGCTTTATAGCAATTTTTTTAATACCAAAAGACGGAAGGATAAACGAATGGAGTAGATTAATTTTCGCTGGAACAGGATTTGCAGCGATGGCAGTAAGTTTCAACTTGCTTTAAGTTAAATAAATTTAATACATAAAAATCATTTATTGCTAAATAAAGTTACAGGGTTGAACAAAGAACAGCAAGTTATACTTACTTAATTTTAATCACTTACCTAAATATTACTGGCGGAACCCAAACTTGTTATGTATGTACTTTGGTGGCCAGTTATATTTTATAAACACTTCACTTCATAAACACGATACATGGTACCTTACCTATGAAATTGCTTGTTTAAGGGAAAATTGAAATAAAAATTATTACAAAATAAACTTTAATTAATTACTAAACTAAAATGTTTGTCACTATTAACGAATTCTTGGCATTTTATGAACAGTTGGTGATGCCCTTGCTGTAAGTATATTAAAGTCTAGGGCACGAAAATCGTTCAACTCTATAAAGGCGTTCTTTACTGCTTCTTTGTAATTGATATGTTTGCCTAATAAAAAGTTATCCATACTTCCAGAAAAGTGGAAGTTTGTACGGAAAAGGTCTGGAAAATAAGGTGTACAAGGAATAGTCTCTAGCTTTAGCTCTGCTAATTTTGCCAACGTCTGTTGTGCACTATGTGACCGGGCGTTGTCATAAAGAAGCAACAGCAACGAGTAGTTTTCCAATTTGTGTTGAGTGCCAGCTTCTCCGCACAGTCAGCAGTAACTGTGGCACCTAATGGCGAGAAACTATAGTAAATAACACCAACAGTAGTGTTTCACCACTATCTCCTTCTGGTTAATCGTTCGTTTCGAACATCCGTATCTAACCACTATGATTACGCTTGTGCCTTGCGATTGTTGTACAGGATCTACTTTGCTTTACAGGTAACAGTTCTGTTTAAAATTCCCTCTTTTCTATTCCAATTCAACTCATGAGGCAAGCTTGTACGTGGGCCTCGCTCTGTGCCCTGTATCTAATATTGTTTTGACACATAAGTACTTATAAGACGACGGTAGATCCGCTTCAACTATCGCCTTCAGTTCGTCACTATTAACCTATATTTCAAGGACATTTTCCGAACGAAAGCGATTGTACCCATAGAATTATTACTGAAATTGAACCAAAAGCGCACAATTTGTTCGCTATTAATACCCTCGTAATAATTACATGGTAATACCACAAAAGCTAAAGAAACAAATGAATACCTTACAGATTTTAAAAGGATTCAGAGTGCCAAAATTTATTTGGACTTAGAATTACAATTCTAAATCATAGCATATGGAGTCTTGGCGGAAAATTGACCGCTGGTGGATGGTTGCTCCTGTGTTACCAGCCTTTGCCAACGCAACATGTGAACTATTAGTGGAAATGATGAAACAAGTGCTCCGATTTTAATATAAACCTTAATTTTTTTCGTCTGCTTGAACTTGAGATAGCCGTGGTAGCTCAGGGGCTAACCGCTCGCTATAAATTTCATAGTACGCGAGCAACCCGGGTTCGATCCCCGCCGGCACCAATAAAATTGTTAATTGAAATTTTAAGAGCAGATTTACCACTCACTTGGCTTACCTTATCCATCCATCCACACATGCTTATCAACCCTCTCATAAATGAGATGCCTGTGCCCAGCAGTGGGACGTATATTTATATAATAATAATAATAATAATAATTTATTTGATACAGACAACACTGATCCATTACAAAATTAAATTTTTTACATTATACCTAAAATTTTAATTCTAATTATTGGTTAATTAATGAAATTATTAAATATTATTATTAAGATATTAATAAATTTGATCACATACTAAAAATTTCACTAAATGCACAAATATTACAAATAATTTTGATGAGATTATTCTGCGACCCAAAACATAACTTCTAAATCGCGCGATACGGTGACGAATCAGCGCATCTAAACCAGCGACACGGGCCTCAGCGAACATCTGGGACGCGCTACAGTATCGTGGCTGACGGAACAACACGCGGTACGAATCATTATACTGCACCTTCAGCCTGCGATATTCCTCTTTAGTGTAATTCGTCCACAGCTGAGGAATGTAAAGTGGCTGACAGTAAGCTGAAAACAACGCAAGTTTTGAGGTATAAGAACACATTTGAAAGCGTCGAGCTATCATGTTGGCACGCACTGACAAGGAACGTCGCTCGCGGTCCATATCGGAACAATCACACAGATCCTGAGTAACAATTTGACCCAAGTATTTAAACGTCGTTACCCACTCCAATTGCGAATTACACAAATACACTACATATAAGGTTGAACCCTACCACGCTTAAAAAGCAAACAAACAGACTTATTGGTGTTGTACAATAGGTTATGATCCATCGCATATTTCTCACATATATGCAGTAGTGCACGCAGCGCACCAATCTAGGGACTCAGCAGCACCATATCATCAGCATAACTCAAGTTATTAAAGCATTCAGAACCAATGTGGCAACCCAGTCTGGTGTTTCTAAGCTCATCGATCAGCTGATCAACATACAGATTAAAAAACAGAGGCGATGTTAGCCCTCCCTACCTCACGCCGCATTGTAGGAGAAATTCCTCAGAGTATGTATCACGCCACTTTACTACATTAATTTGCCAACTATACCATGCGATCAATATGTTAATACATAATGACGGCACTCCCGCATCACGTAATTCCTTCAAAGTATATCATAACTGACTCTGTTAAAAGCCCTACTTAGGTCCAAGAAACATGCATAAATATTTGCATTCCGCTTATTATAATAACTAACGGTTTGCTTTAAAGTAAAAATCGCCGCATCCGTAGAACTATCTTTTTTAAATCCAAATTGAGCATCGCTAATATGTATATATTTGGAGATAACGCCTAATAATATGGTGTCAAACAATTTAGCACAAGTTGTAGCTATGGATGTATCGGTCTATAATTACAACTGTCGGTCAAACTACCCGATTTACATTTAAGAACAGGATTTATTACTGTTTTTAGCATTTCTACCGGTAAGTAGATAAGCATGCTTTAGACAGGCATTGAAAAATACTGATAGGAACGCAATTACTCACGGTCCTCCAAACCGAAGATGTTCCACGCTTATATTGTCATGTCCTTTCGCCTTTCCTAGTTTCATCTGGCGCAGAGCATTAAAGATCTTCAAATACATGAATGTCCTTGCCATCTGCTACATGATATTCATTATGAGAAGTACAGTGTCCTGAACTTAACGCAAGAAATTTGTTCCTGAACAAGTTTGCAATCGCCAGTGTATCCGTCAGGCCATCCACACACTCCGAAACCTTAGACCCGGTCTTAAGTAAATTTCCCGTATCTTTCCAAAATTGACTAAAGTTTCTACTTAAACAAGATGCCGAAATCTTATCTAAGATTATTTAATCAGCGGAATTGTGGCAAAATCTTAACCTTCCTTTAAAAATAGTTCGCGTTATTTTCATTTGATTGAACAGCGGACCAGAGGAAGGCGCCCCAGCCGTTAACAACCCAACTCGTGCTCGCCGTGCCTTCATGTGTGCCTCGCGTACATACTCATTCCACCCCGGAACAGTATATAGGCTGTAACTTTTAACTTGAACTTACCTATGATAGGTAACTCTCGTCATCGACTGTCTGCTGGCTAAAGCTGTCGTAAGAATCTCTCAAAACACAATGTGATGCATCAACCTAAGTATTGTGGGGAAGTTTTTGAACAAATTATTACACTTATATTATGATAATTTCCTATTACTTGTCACTAAGAATGACAATATGAAAGAATACAGTGGCCAGTTAATTTCTACAAAACGACAATTTCATAGGTAAAGAAAAGACCCATTAAATAGACAGATTTATTATCTTTATATTTAAAAACTAAACGACGACGTGAAGACGTGCACATCTTCTGACGTCAAATTGTAGTGCTATTTGGCGTACAGGTAAGAGAACGGCATCTATACCCAACTAGATTTCTAAGCAGAAAAAAAGTTCTACAATCAGTGATATCTGAGGCATTCTCTTCTAATGTCCCTTAGAGTTATAGTGTCTCCATCTTCCGTTGATAAACATCAAAACATTGAAAGAACTTTTACTTTATCCAAGTTTAAAGAATTAAACTTGCATAAAGTAAAAGTTCTTTCAAATCATGATATTAATGCAATTCTGAAAAACTTATTAATGCCCGTATCCCTCAATCATCTAGGTCTTTGGGAATTCAAAAAATTCTTTGAAAAACTGACAAAGATACACAAACATCGACTTGACTCTAAAAGTGATCGAATTTTACTAAATTTGGCGTGGAATACATTTAATGATGTTTGTAAAAAAGAAGACCACGCGGGTAAAAGCTAGTATAGAAATATATCCCTTGATTTCTAACCTACTTCAAAGGAAAGACTACCAATTAAAATGCATTTTCTTATTTCTAATGTACTAGCATTTTACATGTTTGATTCCTGGCTAGGAAAACTGCTTTTTTAAATTTATTATAGCTCTATTACAGTTCCAGTTTTATCAAAATCGGTCTCGAGACTACTTTGAGCTTTTATCGATATTTCTACAGGATTAGGTCATCCATACCCAGTTGAAAAAAAATCAACTTGTAGGTAAGTACCTACACCGCTGTGTTTCGTATGGTGAGTGTAGAGATCCGGATACCCATTTTACTGGAAAAGAGGCATTCCATATTAGTACTCACGGGTGACAACGCATCTGCGTTTTGATTCGCAAACGAGGATAGATGTAGATGTCTATGGGCCACAGCAACCACTTACCATCAGGTGGACTGTGTGCTCGTTTGTCTTCCTATCCTATAAAAAAAGGTATATAACAACCTCGAAGATAGGTTTTTAAGTCTTTTGCTAAGTACTTTTTTATTTACTATTAGACTACTTATACTTCCATATGACGGTCTCGTTGGTTTAGTGTTCGTAAGCGCGACTCTTGATCATGTGATTCCGAGTTCAAAATTCGGATCGAAAAAAAATCAGTTATGAGTTTTTTTGTCAAGAAATTCTCTATAGCAGCCCGGAGTCTGTATGTTTATTGGTATTTCAGCCCTGTGTCGCGGAAAGCATGAAAAGTCGTTGAACCTGCGCCTAATTCCCTCCGGTCATGTCGGGTTCCTGTCCCATCGGCGTATAAGAGTGAGTGAATAGAGCCTGTGCTTTCGCACACACTCGTAACCAATACAGTCCTCTCCTGCTCAGATAGCTACTCCATTGAGAGTGCCCGCCATAACTGAAATTCGGTCTGGAGGACATCATTATACATTTATCTTCCATATAATATTTCAGGTCCGATGATATTATAGGATTATTATAATTATTACTGAATCAAATATATTTCAGGGTTCGGTATCAGCATTATATCTCTTCTCTGGTGAATTATTTCCTACAGTGGGACGTAACGTAGGCATTAGCGGAGTGACAATGTTTGCTCGTGTTGCATCTATGGTAGCCCCCGCTGTTGTTAGTATGGATTATAAGATGCCAGGTCTGACTATACTGCTACTCATTGTTACATCATTTATACAAGTGCTAATCTTACTACCACTCCCAGAAACAAAAGGACATCCCCTGCCTGATACTTTAGAAGAAGCCGAAATATTTACTTAAGTATTTTTATAGAAGCACCTATTGTTGTTAATTAAAGTTATATAAGTCAAAAGCAATTAATGTAGCAGAATATAACAATTATTAATTGACACTCAGTTTTAAATAATATCTAATATTGTGTTATTACCAAAAGAAAATTCAATAAATTTTTATTATTAACATTGCAGTTTTGTTGTATGTGGTAGACCCATGCTGCAGCACAAATGAATCAAAAAGGATCATGCTCTCACAGATCACTAGTGTAAATGTAAAATGGCCGCACAAAGCTAATTTGTATGGCGAGTGTGGAGAACAAGATACATTTTTTTACTGGTAACAAGCCATTTCATCTTAGTCCTCAGGGGCGACAACGCATTTACATTTTTGATTAATGTGTCTATGGGCCATTGTATCCACTTACCATCTGATGGACTTGTTCGTTTGATACCCTTATTCTATAAACTAGCTTCTACCCGCGACTTCGTACGCGGATCCTGTTGCTTATGCCAGCGACAACGGGGTCGTCAAAATCGAAGATCTGAAACGTCTGATGTTGAATTCTAAGAGCCCAGGGACGGGAAAGCAACGTGATTCGCGAGACGATTCGAGACGTTCTAGATTCTTTTCACGTTCTAGATCATTTTTGTAAGTCAACAGGAAATGCCCATCAGACTAAACAACTTTTGCTAAGACGTCATTCCTATATATGTTATAGTGTCGCTGGGCTTTGGATGGAGTGTAACTTCTTGTGTGTTATTAAGTTAATATATTGGTAATATTCTTTAGATCACGTTCACATGAGGCTTAAGTACTTATAGAACAAAAATACTTCAGCGCAAAGCTTCCGGGTAAACTATGTTGAAAGTTGACCCGTCCGGCACGTGAAAATAAAGATTTCTAGAACTGCTAACCCGGGAAAGAGCGACGTATAACTGACCATGCGAAAAACAACTGACACCGAGATCTACTCCAGCAACACGAAAAGTCTGCCCTTGAGCCTTATTAATTGTCATTGCATAACACAATGATACTGGGAATTGCGTTCTTTTAAATTGGAATGGAAAATTATTTGGTATTATGGGAATTCTGGGAATAAAGACGGTTTCTCCTGCACCGCAACCTGTTAAAATTTGAGCCTCGATTATATTTTGTTGCAACTGGGTTACTTTTAGCCGAGTTCCATTGCAAAGTTGTGGTGGTCTTAAATTTCGGAGCAGAATAATCGGAATGCCAATTTTTAAACAAATTTCACAAGAAGGAAGTCCGGGCATATTTAAAGAATTTAAAAATTCTATCGGGTAATTAGTGGCTTCTTGTTCATCGACCATTCTATTTATTGAACTATAAACTTTGCTTTCCCCCTGTATATTTGACAGTATTTTGTTATTAATCTCAGATGATCATTGCGAGGAGTTAAAATGGATTTTTCGCATAGCCAAAAATTATCCCTATTTAATATAATTGTTACGTCACCGTAAATCGACGATATAAGATGTGGTTGGGATTGCACTATACAACATAACTCAGGCGTCAGAATAAGTTTTACTTAGTGTAGTTGTGGATAGGTACCTTCCCCAATCTTCAATAATTTATCAGAAAATTGACGATCATCCGGGTTATCTCCAGTTCTCACTCGCATGTTTATAGTCAAATGTACCGATTGTATATCACGCCACAAATAAGAGCTTTTTAGGCAAGCCCTAACCTCATCAGCTCGGGTTCCCCGTGGTATTACTGGTACGGTTTGTCGGAAATCAGCTTTGTCGCTATTTCTTGAAATACTACAGGTTGGACTTTCCGTGCGATCTAAATCAATTGGTATTTTAAACATAGTGTGAGTAGTTTTACCTCCTGGTAGCAATGTTGCAGCTATACCTGATGAAGCCACGGCAAGAGCAATTTTACGCTGATTTCGAACATAAGATAATATTAATTTAGTCAAAAAGGTTTTCCCAGTTCCTCCAGGTGCATCTAAAAACCATATTGTTCCCAAATTATTCTGAACACTCTCGCACACGCGATCATAGACTGAACGTTGTTCTGCGGTCATCATTGGGACACAGTTTCCGTGCCAGCAGTTCCATTGAGTTGTAACCAATCTCTGCAGAATATTCCCTATTGGTAACCTCTCCGACTGAGGTTGGTGTTGGCAAATCATATTCACAGAGTGATTTACCGCCTACTGCTGTTAAGTCTTCTTGAAGAGCTAATAAGCACAGATTTATGGCAAGATCACGGAAATTATCATTAGTTGCGCCTTCATCATTGTGAGATATATTCTGAAGAAAGTCTTCTGCAAATTTTTCTTTATATTTTTCCCATAATTGTACAGCATCTGACAAATTACAAAATGTGAGTAATGTTACAAATAAATGGCGTAACCGTCGTGGATTATCACTAACACAGGATTCTGCTAAAGCGTCATTTTCAAGCAAACGACGCGCTTGGCAAGCTGCATGATAAGTTGAATAAACAACATCGTCTACTTTTCTCAAATCTATAAATGATGTTGGAACTCGCACTGTATGTAATAATAATCGCAAATAGAAACACTCAGCGTTGTTAGGATGAACGGTATACACTCTACCAAGAACATGTTCTTTGAAAATACCTGACTCGCCATCTACAGGCCTGCCACGGCGTCTACGATTAAAGACACCTCGTTGCTTATCGTAGGTATAATACGATGGAACTTCCTCATACAAAAGAGATTTTGCAAAATCATCAGTTTGGCAAAGTCGAAAGAATGCTAATAAAGTTGTATGTTTAGGGTTCTCTATTCGGTATTCGTACAGTAACATTTTCGGCGTTGAAATATATACGTTGACCGCCATCAAAATGAACATTCAGATGAGTCACAGGATTCATGAAACTTAAGATCCGCCACACAGCTTCTGAAGAGCTGATATATCTATGCAGATATATCAGCCCACGCGGCTCGAGTCAGGCGACTGAAATCTAGTAACTTCATTATGTTCATTTCTCAACGTAAATGTAGCTTGGTCACTGCCCTTGTTAATATACTTACAAATATATTTTATTGACTCTACACTTGTTTGCGCCAAACGCTAAAATTTAAAAACAACATAATGGGGCGCGTCGGCGCGCTCCTCCGATGTACGCCCGCCGGGCGCGTGGGAGATCGGGCAGTTTTTTGTCGCCAGCGACGGCCGGGTCGTGGCTTTGCTGTGGATCTACTCGGACCGCGTGGTCACGTGCATAATAACCTCTGATTGTGTCAGTTTTGTTAGCAAATTTATGCAACGACGAGGAGTTGTGGAGTCTAGAAAATTAGACACCGGGTCGATTAATTGTTTGGAAGTTAATGTTTAATTGCACCGTCGCGTTAAGTGCCTTAGAAGGTCGCGTTCGGTTCTAGAAATAATTTGTTGCTGAGTGAATCGGAAGTGAACTTTGACCCACCGTTCATTACTCGTGCCGTGTGTTACGTTTTTGATTATAATTAACGTGGATTTAGTTGAGTTTGAAGTTAGTTAAATGTACAATAAAGTTGATAGACTGACGTAGTGAAATGAAGAAAGAAATTGCCATTTGGTGATGTCCGCGGGAGTGAATTACATTGTGGGGCAGCATCGGACCAGGCCACTGCCCGATCACCTCAGCTGGGTCAGGCCACATATATAAACACACCACTAAACACCACTTACATACACTACACCTACCTCCTGACCGAGCCTTGTCTCCAGTCTTCGCCTCTGAACAGGTGCGTACTATTTATTTACCTAGCCTTATCTCTATCGAGTAGGTCAATTGTCCATAGGTCAATTGGGCCCCGTTCTTAGTTGTCCGTCGAGTCTACAGCTGTATGTGCCCCTGTATAATCGACCTTTGTCTGGGCAACGAGGTACGTGTTCAACACTATTACACATTTCAACATTTATGTGAGCTTGAAATGCTCTAGACATCACAGGCGAATACGGAACGACCCACCTATTATCTAAAGTAACCTGTTGTCCAGACACTCGCTTTTCAACAGTAAAACCACCATTGTCTCTTGAACGGCGACGATATAATGGGTATCCATCATGTCCTGTTACAGTTTTATCCACTAATGCTTTTGGATATCTTTTAGTGCAACGACCGTCTTGCATGCAAGGAGCATTCCCGTTAAATGCACCACATGGACCATGTATCATATGAGTTTTAACAATGTCGTATAACACGGGATCTGCAATCGGATCTGGAATTTCAGCACTTATTGAACTGTCTACATCATTAGGTCGAACCTTATCTTTTAACCAAAGCAGGATATGTGCGTGAGGTAAGCCGCGTTTTTGCCAGTGGTATATATATATATTTGGTAAGTAGATCTATCATTGATTTTAATTTTAAATGAAAAACTCTTGCGATAATATCATGGCGGTCATGCGGGCTTGACCCTCAATAAGCTCCCGCGTGATTTCATCCCACTTAGGATTGGTAGTTACAGTAATAAATAAGTCGGGACGTCCATATTTTCTTACGTAACAAAAAGCATCTTGAGTACGTTCGTGCATGTAGCGTGGAACACCAGTAAAAAAGAGGGTAAAATAACTAAACGGCCCATATTCACCGTATCATTATCTTGCTGCATGGCGTCGCGAAGGTGCACGTATTCTTCAGCGCGCAGCTGCCTTTGATTAGATCGTATATAAACTAATCTTTCGGTTTCAATTTTTGCGTACATGTCAACAATAAACTGATTGAATAAGCCACGAAAATGTTGAAAGTATACAAATCTATTCCGTCTCACTTGCAAGTGGTAACAATAAAATTGAAGGCATGACATCTTTTTATTATAATTAGGTGCGCCTGTACGCGGATCACGCACAATCCCTGACGGGGTAGCCAGAAAGAACAGATCGCCAAGTGTCACGATCCTTACATACCTCTTTCGCTTCTTTCAGATTCATTATCTTCTTCATACATGCACGTCTAGGTATCCGAGTACTCTTGACCCTCCCCTCTTCGAGCAATTTGCTCACATGGTCTTCGAAAGTTAGTCTCGGTCTACCTCGACA